TATCAAAGGAACTTGCTTCTAATTTTTTTCCCCAGTTACTATTGCTAACTGTATTTCCCTCCATCCTATTCTCCCTCCCCCATTTATTTTATTCTTTCTCTCCTTTTAGCCTGTCCCTCCTCAAAAGTGTTTTGCTTCTGACTACCCCTGCCCAATCTGCCCTCCCTTCTATCACCTCCCCCTTTTTTTTATCACCTTCCCCTCCTACTTTCCTGTAGGGTAAAATAGATTTGTATACTCAATTGAGTGTGTACATAATTCCCTCTTTGAGACAATTCTGATGACAGTAAGGTCACTCAGTCTTCCTCATCACTCTCTTTTCCCCTCCACTGTAAAAGCTTTTTCTTGCCTCTTTTATGTGAGATAATTTACCCCATTCTACTTCTCCTTTTCCCTTTCTCCCAGTACATTTCTCTCTCATTCTTTAATTTTATTTTTTTAGATATCATCCCTTCATATTCAACTCACACCTGTGCCCTCTATCTATCCTCCTTCTAACTGCCCTAATAATGAGAAAGTCCTTTTGAATCCTTATGAAGTTACATCTTCTCATGTAGGAATGTAGTTTAACTTTATTAAGACCCTTATGAATTTCCTTTACTGTTTACCTTTTTATGCTTTTCAAGTCTTGCATTTAAAAGTCAAATTTTCTTTTCAGCTTTGATCTCATCAAGAATGCTTGAAAGTCCTCTATTTCACTGAATTTCAATTTGTTCCCCTGAAGAATTATACTCTGTTTTGCTGGGTGGGTGATTCTTTGTTGTAATCCTAGCTCCTTTGCCCTCCAGAATATCATATTATAAGCCCTCTGATCCTTTAATGTTGAAGCTGCTAATTCTTGTGTTATCCTAACTGTAGTTCCACAATACTTGAATTGTTACTTTCTGATTGCTTGCAATATTTTCTCCTTGACCTGGGAGCTCTGCAATTTGGAAAATTCCTAAGAATTTTCATTTTGAGATCTCTTTCAGGAGGCAATTGGTGGATTCTTTCAATTTCTATTTTATCTTTTGGTTCTAGAATATCAGGGCAGTTTTCCTTGATAATTTCTTGAAAGATGATGTCTAGGCTCTTTTTTTGATCATAGCTTTCAGGTAATCCAATAATTTTGAAATTGTTTCTCCTGGATCTATTTTCCAGGTCAGTTGTTTTTCCAATGATATATTTTACATTGTCTTCCATTTTTTCATTCTTTGGTTTTATTATATTATTTTTTGATTTCTCACAAAATCATTCACTTCCATTTGTTCATTCTAATTTTTAAGGATTTTTTTTTCAGTGAGCTTTTGTAGCTCCTTTTTCCATTTGGCCAATTCTACTTTTTAGGTAGGTTTTTCTTCAGTGAATTTTTGTGCCTCTTTTTCCACTTGGCCAGTTCTGCTTTTTAAGGTGTTCTTCTCCTTGTTGGCTTTTTGTACCACTTTTACCATTTGGCCTGATCTGTTTTCTAAGGTGTTAGTTTCTTCAATTTTTTTTTGTGTCTCCTTTACCAAGTTGTTGACTCATTTTTCATGATTTTCTTGCATCACTCTTATTTTTCTTCCCAATTTTTCCTCTACCTCTCTTACTTGATTTTCAAAATCCTTTTTGAGCTTTTCCATGGCCTGAGACCAATTCATATTTTTTCTTGGATACTTTGGATGTAGGAGCTTGGACTTAGTTATCTTCTGAGCATGTGTTTTGAGCTTCATTGTTACCATAAGAATTTTCTATGGTCAGAATTCTTTTGTTTTTTGCTCATTTTCCCAGCCTATTACTTGACTTTTAACTCTTTGCTAAGGTAGGGCTCTGCTTCCAGGGTGCAGGGCATACTGTCCAAGCTTCAGGGGCTTTATGCAGCTGTTTTCAGAGATACAGAGGGACCTGTAAGTTTTCAGTTCTTCCAATGTCCTTCCACTTATCTAAGCAGAGGTGTTTACTACTCTCCTGGGCTGGGCTCTGGTCTTTGAGTGAGCACAAGCACTCTTTTCTGCCCTAGAACTGTGATGAAGGTCCCTGCTCTAATGCGGCTGCAAGGTCTGGTGTGCTAGTGCTTCTCCTTACCCTGGGACTGCCACCCCAGGACTGCAACCCATATCCAAGTATGGGCAAAGCAGCAAAATGCTGGCTCAGTGTTAGCAAAGAGACCCCTTTAATCTCCTTCTGACCAGTTACTCAACTCCCATATAGTCTGTGGACTGACAGCTCCAGAAGCAGCTGCTTCCACTGCTGATTCAGTGGCTCCCAAGGCCCCTGGTTTGCTGGCCTGGCCTGTGTTGGACTGTGCTCCATTCTCACCCAGGTGCAACAGACCTTTCCTGCTGATCTTGTAAGTTGTCTTTGTCTGGAAGATTATTTCACCTCATCCTTTTGTGGGTTCAGCTGCTTCAGCAACTGTTTTATGGCATTATTTAAAGGTGTTCAGAGGGGTTTTGGGGAGAACTTAGGTGAGTCACTTGCCTTTTCACTGCCATCTTGGCTCTGCCCAAGACCTCTACTCCTACTTTACCTTACTGAGAAAACAGGGGTCATATGGTATCATCTCCCTCTCATCTCTCATTCTATATCCCTAGTCCACCTGACAACACACATACACACACACATATTCTCTTATCCTTTCTTTCAGTATCTGATGAACATGTTTGCCAACTCTGTATCAAGGTTAATCTTTTGATTCTACTCCTGTTTCCTCAGAGAGTTTGTCACTCAATCACTCATTCTTTCTCTAATTTTTAATCTTGTTCTACCTATTGTCTCATTTCCTGCTGCCTACATATGTACCCAGGCTTCTCCCATCCTCAAAAAAAATTTACTTGACCTTGCCATCCCCTAAGTATTCATTCTTTTTCCATCCCTTAACAGAAAAAAAAAATCTTCTGCCTTCTTACCTCTACTTCTTCTCCTACCATTCACTTTTCAACCATTTGCAATCTGGCTCCCGACTTTACAATTCAACTGAAACTGCAATCCTCAAGGTTGCCAAGGGGATCCCATCGGTTTTTTCAGTCTTCATTCTTTCTGACATTTCTATAGCATTTGGTATTGTTGACTACTCAGTTTTCCTACATACTCTTTCCTCTGAGGGTTTTTCTGACACTTATCTTTCCTTCTTCACCTCCAACCTGGTTCTCCTCCTCTTAGGTATTCTCTTATACTAGATTGTCATTCATTTACTTCCCCTTGCTTATGGGTGTACCTCAGGGTACCCTCATAAGCCTTTTTTCTTCCTCTATAGCCTCTACTTCATTGATCTCATCAGCACTTACAAGTAATTGTCATCTCTATGTGGATGATACCAGCTCTCTTTCTCTCTTTATATACCTCTACTCTCTCTCTCCTGTCCTCTAGCTTACTTGCTGGACATCTTCAATCTGAATGTCTCATAGATATCTCAAACTTAACATGTCCCAAACAGAATTCATTATCTTTTCTCCTAAATCCATCTCCTCCAGACTGCACTCTTTACATTGAGCCCATCACCTTTCTTCCCTTCAGCAAGGTTCTCAACCTTAGAGTCACCCTTGACTATTCCTTCTCCCTCATTCCCCATTTACAATCAGGTGTCAAATTCTGTCAATTCTACCTCTACAACATCTCTTACATGATCCTTTTCTCTTCACTCATACTACTACCATCATAATGTACCATCGTAGGTCCACACCACTTCTTGTCTGGATCATTTCGACATTCTCCTAATTGGCCCTTGGCTTCTAGTCTTTTCCTTTTCCAGTCCATCTTCCATATGTAGCTGCCAAAATAACCCTTCCTAAAGCAAAAGTCTTACCATGGGTTTCCCTTACTCAAAAACTTTCAATGGCTATTTATTGCCTGTAAAATAAATACAAATTTATCTACTTAGAATTTAAAGCCCTTCACAATCTGGTTCCAGTCTAACTTGCTAGGCTTATTTCTCATTATTCCCTCTCATGCACTCTGTTAAATGAATGAATGAATGAATGAGTGAGTGAGTGAATGAATGAATGAAAAGCAGTTCTTGATTGCTTACTATGTGCTAACTTTTTTGAGACACAAACATAAAATTAAAGACAGTCTCTGTCCTCAAGTTTGTATTCTTGGTGGGGATAAGGAGGGGAAGATAATTCACAAAAAGGAGTGATGGCTAGGAAGGAGCACTTTGGTTCTGAAAATTACAAGGATGGGGAGTGAGGCCATAGAGTATCAGATTGACATGTCCCACTCAGGAGTAGAGTTGATTTGATCATGGTTCATGGTTCTAGAACTGGAGGGTGGAGTGGTAGGGAAGGAGAAGGGCCACAGCAAGGCAGTTGTTGAGAAGGAGATGACTGTTCCAGATCAACTGGCCTAGTTGCTGCTCCATATAATTCCACCTCCCATCTTTATGTCTTTGTAAAGGCTAACCCTCTTGTGCACAATATACTCTTTCTTCATCTCTGCATCTTAAAATCTTTGACTTCCTTTAAAACCAATCCATTTGCCACCCCCTAGAGGACACCTTTCCTAATCCACTAAATCATTACTACTTCCTCCTTCCTCAGGGTATTATTTGTATACTAATCTGGAATGTAAGGTCCTTGAGGGCAGGAATTGTTTTTTATTAAATGTTTGTTGAGTTAGATTGGTAGGATTTGCAAACTGTAAAGTAAAATGTGGGCCATTCTTATTGGTATCAGGAAGAAGTTATTCTGATCTGATGCATTGATATCACATCAGTATCTTGTAAATTCAGTTAAAGTGAGTTAATCCTACAGAGCCTGATCATCATTGGGTAAAATGTTAAAACCAAATTTCTGAACTTGCAAAAACTAACAACCAGATTCTAAATCATAATGATCTCACCAAGGTATTTCAGAAGGACGAGCCCAAGACAGCCAGCATATTTTTTACCAACTATAATAGTACAAAAGAGTACAAAGTACATCTGGAATGTGCATTTTCTCAATAACATTTACAAATTTCAGTTTGGATTCATTCTTTGTAACTTCAGAAAGAAGAGAAAAAAATCATCTGATTCAACCAATATATTTGAAGTTAAGTCTTACAATGTGTATCATACTTCAATTTCATTCCCAATGGAGTGCCTGCTAAACATTCATTGAATTTTTCATCCATTTTTTGACTTTGAGTTTCACTGAACAGATTTTTCCAGTCTCCAACTTCACCTAGAAAACACAAAGAATAGGACCAGAGTTTAGTTAGTATGTTCCTTTTTATACATGGAAGTTCCTGGATTTTACTGTTATTTAGAACAAATGCTTTCATTTTGAATATGTGAGAAAAGACACACAAAAAAGAAGAGGAATGATATATACAGTCAAACAACAATATTATTTTCTGGCTAAAATCAATGACATAAATTGCAAGAAAAAACAAAATGATCAGGTGACTTCACTTTTGTGGCAAAAAAACCCCAAAACACTCTAGAGGTTTTTCCCCCTTGAATTTATTCCAGGGTCACAAAGGTCACAGTGCCATTGCAGATTCTCTTATAAGGAATGCCGGGTTTAAGAGGGAAATGGTGGTGTGCTATAAGACCTGCACAAAAGAATTCTTCCTTCTCCTCCAACAGGTTTTCGTACCCAGCATTCTACCTAAAGCTCATTATGAAATGTAAATATTCCTGGATCATCTAACACTTTAAACCAGTCAAGTAATAATAAGTAAGGTGCTCCCCTCTCCTCATCCCAAATATTTTTAAAATTCAAAAGGACTATACTTCTTCCTTAAACTTTTGAATTGTTGAAAGATTTAAGTTGAAAGTACAAGTTTCCTTTACCTTTGGAATTTAAATTTTCTGGTCAAAAGAATGCAGTAGGAAGTTTAGCCTAGTCTCTTAACCAGAAAGAATGGTACAGTGAGGTTGAGGATGGATTTGGAATTAGGGAATATGGGCTTGGATGCTGGCTATGTCATTTCCCTATCCATATGACAATGGAGTAAGTCACTTCATCCATCTGAAATTATTTCCTCATCTGAAAATATAAAGCATTTAAACTGGGTAACTTCCAAAGTACCTTCCAGTTCTAAATCTATCAGCCCAAGATATTCTTTGTATACCATTAGTAAATAGAACCACAAACAGAAAAACAGAAAGTTTTATTTAAGGTCCATTTATTAAGGTCCAATTAATGAAACCAATCAATGGCAAAATCATAAATAAACCAAGCCTGACTTCATACTGAGCAGTCCCTTCTTTACCATAATTATCCTACTTTTAACTTTCTTTAAATAATAATGAATGTGGTAAGGGGGCACTTCAAATTCCCTTTAGACACTAGGTAACTCTTTAAAGAAATTTAGTAATTCAAAATTCCTAAAACTAATGCAACTTTACCTTTTCGAAAAAGGAATGGCCCAATTGGACCATGCGTTTCCTGAGACTTTGCTCTCATTGCTTGAAAGGTGGTCCGGTCTGAAATAGTCTGAATCTGCTCCCCCGTCAGAGAGAATCCAAAGAATTCCACCATTTGTTTCACTCCCGCAGTTAGATTCTGAAAACAAAATTCTCTAGGTAGCCTTTAACACTTCCTTCTTTTCTACCCTTATGGACTTTTATCTTAGTTTCTATAGGAGGGTTTACCAAGCTTTTTTGGTCCCATTACTCCCTGGTTTTCAGTAAACTTTCCCATACCCCCAATTCAATATCAAAATAAATAGTAGTGCTAACCATGCATATGCACATAAATAAAATAGATCAATTAATTTCAGTAGGATAATATAGTTATTTACCAAGCATTCACCATACCACTTTGCCAAGCTTCTCACAGCCCAAAGGCATACATGTCCCCAAGCTTGGGAACTCCTGTCCTACATGGATTGTTTCAGACCTTTTCTTCTCTCTTCTTACAACCTTCTCTGGAACTCTTCAAACACTTAAGGAGGATGACCTGGCTTCTTATTTTAGTGAAAAGAGGATATCCAGTGCACTAGGTTTAAAGTCAGAGTTCCCAAGTTCAAATTCCTATAGCAACACGTATGGCCTGGGCAAGTCACTTAACTTCACTGTATCTCAGTTTCCTCATTTGTAAAGTAAGAAGTTCCCCAAAGGAAACCAAAGTCATAATTAAAAATCCAATACATAACAAAGTATTCAAAGTAGCACTCTTTATGGTAGTAAAGAATTGGAATCAAAGTTTGTAACCACTGAATGGAAAATAGATGAAAAAACTATAGTGCAGAAAGACTTATATGAACTGATGCTGAGTGAAGTGAGGAGAACCAGGAGAACACTGTACACAGTAACAGCAACATTGTGCAATGACTAACTTTAATAGACTTAGCTCTTCTCAGCAATGCAAGGATCTAAGACAACTCCAAAAGATTAATGATGTAAAATGCTGTCCACATCCAGAAAAAGAATTATGGAGTCTGAATGCAGATTGAAGCATACTATTTGCTCTCTCTCTTTTTCTTTTGTTTTGTTTCTTTTTTCTTGTGGTTCCTTCCATTGGTTCTAATTCTTCTTTACAACATGACTAATGTGAAAATGTTTAAGAGGGATGTATGTGTACAGCCTATATCAGATTGCATGCCATCTTGGGAAGGTGGAAGGGGAAGGAGGAGGAGAAAATTAGAACTCAAAATCTCATGGAAGTGAATGTTGAAAACTAAAAATAAATCAATAAATTTAGAAAAAAAGAACTACAATGCATAAATGTAATGGAATATTATTGTGAAATTAAAAATTATAAATATGAGGAATTCAGAGAAACTTTGGAAGATTTTGTAAGAAATAATTATTAATGACCAATATCTTGGGGAAATTCAGAGCTCTCCACTTTCTTCCAAAGTCCCAGACTTCAGTGTTTTGAAGGATATTACTGATAATGAGATTGCATTAACTCTTCAACCTTACACAGAATTTAATCCAAGGTGGGGAAGCCCATTGTGTTTTACTCAAACTTGAGTGGAGACAGATCCTTTTGTCTTGATAGCCAAGGCTTGGAGGGGTCTGAATATAGGGATAATTTCTCTGTCCAAGGGTGACATGAGGTCATCCTCAGCCCCTCCTTGAAAAGGTGTCAACCTCTCATAGAATTTGCTCTAAGAAAGAGACAAACAATTAGGTCAAGTCCATGTTTTTGTTTCTCTCAATCTGGCTTGACATGCATTGCATGGGAGTTACAGTTCTAAAATTGGGCCCTCCTAAGGGACCCACTGCCATGACTGTCTCTAAGAGAGACAGCCAAATGACCATCCTTTTATTAAGGACAGATTAGAGAAGGGAGAGACTTAACTAGGCAAGTATTTACAAAAATCTATTTTAAAACAATTTTTACTAATTTCTCTCTCCAAAGTTATCATTCACTCTCCCAGCTCTGATTGTATAAGGTAGCATTTCTTTAGCTTTGCAATCTATAGCCAAGCATCTGGGGGTACATTAAGCATATTCTCTCTCCATTAGTCATCTTCAGTTTGGAAAGTGCACTCACTCACAATCAGAGACCAAGATTCAACTGCCAAGCAAGTGATTGATGCATAACTTAAATGGGGGAAAAATAAAGCAAGGCATGAATATTCAAAAATAGGAATTTACCTCTAAACAAGGTAAGGCACTTTACTCTAAGGAAGTGGTGGGGAAATCACCCTATTTTTGTCTTCTGATAGAAAGTTGAAGGTTTCACCTTTATCATGACAAATGAAGCATGTGGGACTACTAAGTCATATTCTGAGTAATAAACAGTTCAAGGTATTTCAAAGATAAGAAATCCAGTTTCCCTCTGGTTAGTACTGAATAGAGTACTAGGCTTAGAGTCAGGAGGACTTGAGCTCAAATGTGACCACAGGCATTTAGCCATGTGACCCAAGTCACTTAAAAAGCAAACAAACCTCTATTTGCCTCAGTTTCCTAAAACGTAAAATGGATATAATAACGGCACCTGCCTGCTAAGGTTGTTATGAAGAACAAATGAAATTTTTTGTGAATCACTTAGTAGAGTGCCTGACACATAGTTGGTGCTATATAAATGTTTATTTCCTTCCTCCTTTCTGCCTCATGGAGAACAGGCCCACTTGGGTATATCACCCCCCAAAATGCTTTTCTTTAACTTGGAGACTGAGTGAATTCTTTCAGGACACCAGGAACCACATGTGTATTCCTCAACATTTTAGGTAGCACCCCAACATTTTGGGGGTCCACCCCGAACTCGTCACCAATGGCTACAGAGAAGGTGTAAGTGAATTCTTTCACACCTGAACCATTCTCCCAACTCTGACCTCCCCTTCTATTCCACTGCCTGGAAAAAATAAAAACAAAAACAAAAAACTCACATACAGATCTGTCATATAAAAAAAACTTCCATAGCTCCTTTTTGCATACCTTGTAAAATTCTAGTGGCTTTTTCTATCAATTATGGTACTACTCTACCATTTCAGTTTTATTTAATGTTATTGACCTCTATACTCTCGGTACTCTAGCCACACTGGACAACTTACTTGACCATACATTTATGTTTTCATGCCCTTACTAAAGTTGTTTACTGCTTCAAGTAAAAGCATTAAACTATGATTCAGCTATAATGTCTCCAAATGCTTTGTTATGTGACTTAAAATACATTTTACTCGAAAATATCAACAACCTGGATTTCTCACCTCTCTCAGATCTTCATATAGTATAAACATAATGTTTTCATCATCAAGGTTTTGTTCCAATTGACTGCATAGTCAAAGTAGCTTCCCCAAGAAACTAAAAAACAGACCAAAAACACACTATAAGACATTTCAATAAATGAGGTCAAAGAAGTAGAGGACTATGTTACAAATTAAATTCAATAAACATTTGTTAAAAATCTACTATGTGCCAAGCATTGTCCCAAGTCCTGGGGATTCATAGACAAAATGAGATAGCTCCTGCCTTCAAGAAGTTTTCATTCAACTGGGAACGAGGAAGAGGAAAATACAATATATTGACCAAAAAAAGACACTTTGAGAAGGAATGGCGCAACTAACAGCAGGGGGTCAGGGAGAGTTTCATGGGCAAAGCTGCAGCTGAGTTGATCCTTGAAAGGAGTTCAGAATTCTGAGAGATAGTGATGAGGTAGGGGTACATTCCATACAAAAGGCCAGAGTTGAAACATCAGCATTGGGGAACAGCTGGTAGTCTAATTGGACTAGAACAGAGAGGAGCAAAAGGGAGTAATATGAAATAAGGAATAAGGCTTTAATATATTCATATGTAGCCTCACTCAAGTCCTATTTCAGTATCTTATCATAGTATACATGCTTGAAGACTAGGTCATAATATAATCTGGCAGATCCTGCCAAATTCAAAAGGCTTAGGAATAGAGAGGCAATATGCTGTAATGGTAGAAAACAGGTCCTGGAGACAGGAAGACCTGGGTTCAGGTTCCATCTCTGAAACATACGTACTGTGTAATCTTTGTCAAGGCACTTAACTTCTCAATGACCCAAGAAACTCCTCAAGACGGCAACTTGAAGAGAAGGTACCCATATTCATTAACAGAATCTCCTCACTAGGACTTTCCTAAACCAATGAAATCACAGTTCTGGTCTTGCCACCCCCGACCCTAAAAGTCTGTTAGTATGGTCTTGTGGCAGCCATGAAATTTTGGTCATTAGGTTGTATTTATTTAACATTATGTATGGTCATATAGTACTTTAAAATATAAATTGTTCTGAACTGATGCAAAGCGAAAAGAGCAAAACCAGGATAACATTGTACACAATAACAGCAATATTGCATGATGATCAACTCTGAGTGATTTAGCTGTTCTCAGAAATACAGTGATGCAAGATAACTCCAAAGGCTCATGATGAAAAATGCTATCCACCTCCAGAGAAAGAATTGAAAGAATTTGAATGAAGACTGAAGCATGCTATTTTTCACTTTATTCTTTTGTGTTTTTTTTATTGGTCTGTGTTTTTTTCACAACACGATTAATATGGAAATCTGGTTTTCATTGTACACATATAACCTATATCAAATTGCTTACTATCTCACAGAAGGGGGAGGAGAGGAAAAGAGGGAGAGAGAGAATCTAGAACTCAAAATTTTTAAGACATGAATGTTAAAAATTGTTTTTACATGTAATAGAGAAAAATAAAATATTATTCAAAGAAAAAAGAGCATAAATTGTTCACATAGGATCATACATTTATAGTTGGAAGGGAGCCTAGAGGTCTTCTATTTTAGTTCTCTCATTTCACTGAGGCCCAGAGAGGTTATGTGATTTGCCCAGAGTCACATAAGCAGTCACTGGCAAGACTGGGATTTGAACTCAGGTCCTGTAACTTTGAATTCAGTACTCCAATTTTAGTTCTCTTTCTACTACATCATTAGTGGATATCCTAAATATAACTGTATGGATATATCTATGTTATACAAATTCTACATTCTAATCTCTACCCAGACATGATCTAGGACAAACTATTTGTAAATAATAAAATAGTATAAATTATTTGTCAGAGTTTTAAGCTTTGCTTCTTTTTGTTGTTGAGTTGTTGCTTTTTGTTTGCTTGTTTGTTTGTTTTGGTGAGACAATCAAACTGTCCAGGAACAAGGAAACAATTAAGAACACAGAAATAAAAGTAGGAAAAACCTGAGACCTAGACACAGTCAAGACCCTGACAGTGTGACAGAAAGCATCTCTAGTTTTTATTTTGGTCTGGGCTACTTCAGCTAAGTTCACTCTTACCTGCTCAAGTCTGGAAAAAGATTTTTCTCTATATCATGTCCAGTCATTTTAACCAAACTGCAGATACGCAGTCTCATCTCACCTAAATGTGTGCCTTTATCACATTTACCCATGTATATGTTCTTTTCTGTCTTATTCCAACCACTGGGGTAGTTTGACTTTGCTTTTGATAGCCAAGTTCATTCATATGTACCATTTAGCACATCGACTAATCAGTCATTCAACAAGGTTTTATTAAGTGGTTATTATGTGCCAGATGCTGTGCTAAGACCAAAAAACAAAAAACAATCCCTGCTTCAAGAAGCTTTTATTCTGTTAAGAGAAATTATCTGAACACATATAAGTAAATACATATGAAATAAAGAGTGTGTCCTTGAAAGACCTGGTGCAGTTTTAAGTTTTTAAGCTTAAAACTTTATTAAGACTTTGGGGACCCTCAGTATAGAAGGTAAGTACCAGGTAATTTAGGGACTGAGGAAGAGGCATTAGGAGCTGAGGGGAACAGAAAAGGTCTTAAGTATCAGTTCCTTGAGTATCTCATGAGATCCTTGAGTAGCATGATACTTTGAAGGGATTCTAAGAGGTGGATGTTAGGAGCAGGTACATTCTAGACATAGATGATATTCTGGGCAGAGTTACAGAGATTGGAGATGGAATGTCATGTGTAAGAAACAGCAAGTAGAGCAATTTTGGGAGAACCATACAGAATGTGAAGAAGAGTAATGGGCAATAGCATACAATGTGGGGCAGCGAGGTGGTGTAGGGGATAGAGTGCCAGGCCTGGAGTTGGGAAGATACATTTTCCTGAATTCAAATCTGGCCTCACACACTACAGACACAATCCTGTTTGCCTCAGTTCCTCATCTGTAAAATGAGTCAAAGAAGGAAATGGCAAACCACTACAGTATCTTTGCCAAGAAAACCCCAAATGGGGTCAGACATAATTGAACAACAACACTGGAAAAGTAGTCTGGAAACTAAGTGCCAAAAGAGAAGTTTATATCTTTTCTTAGAGGCAACAAGGAGATTTTTGAGAAGGGGAGCGACACGGTCAGACATATGCTTTAGGATTATCACATTGGTAGCTGTGTGGTGGATGGAATGGAGAGGGAGAGACTTGAGTCAGGGGGAACAACATATATTGAGAAATTAAGTAGCCCTTACAATAAGCTTCCTTCACCCTTAATTGCTTTGAATTTTATCATTTGATTTATTTTCTATTATCATTTCATTCCTTATCCTTCTCTAGTACTCTCTGAAGAGAACAAAATAAATTGCTGAGTTTTTTCCACCTCAGTAACAGAAGCCATGTCTCCCCTTTTTATTCCATCAAAATAAGTTGCAGGAAAAGCAATGATCACCTGATGAAAAATTTGAGAATTACTGATTCAGGTGCCATTAAATATATTAGAAATATTTTTAGGTTCTGGTTCCTAAAATATATTGGCACCTCAGTTAAATAGGTAAAATAAAATTGAAACAATCTAGAATACAAAAACTTGTCTAGGACCAAATGAGATTTTGTCTCCTATAGCAGCTGTTATGGGCACTGTACTCAGTGCAGTTTCTTTTTCTTAGACTTGGCCCATTGGCTTCAAATGCATAAACTGTAGATAAGAAGAAGGATGAAATTATCTCTAGAGTCCCTTCTAGAACCAATATTCAATGATTCTATAGTGCCAAAATGTAGAAGAAGAATAGACAGTGAAGAAAGTAGGTTGTCACCAGTGGCAGCACCTCCCCTTCCTCTGCCCACACATGTTTCTCTGTAGTTGCTGAAGAGAAAGGACAGGGGTATTGATCACATGCTGCAGTAGATAAAATATGGCTTTTTGATATGGCATAATAGCTCCAGGGCATGACTTCAAAACAGGAAACCCAGCATTTCACAATATCACAAAATTTTTGCATCAGAAGGGATATTAATGTCTATCTAGTCCGACTCATGTACAAAAAGAATCTCTAGTATAACATACCAAACATCTGGTTATCCACCCTCTACTTGAAGACCTCCAAGGAAGAAACCAGAATTCGAATCACCTCAGTTATTTATTTACTAGTGTCATCATGAATGTGGCTCCGAAGGCCTCCAGTGTTCTTATCTATAGAATGGGGTAATAATGCCTGTACTACCAGCCTCACAGAGTTGTTGTGAAGGTGATTTGCTAAATGAAGTGCTATGGTAAATATGAGATAGAGATGAGGACGAGGATGAGGAGGATGAGGATGAGGATGAGGATAAGGATGATGAGGATGATGATAAAGAGACTTGGACAACTCATTTCTATCCTGATTTGTTCATTTTCTAGTATATCTGCCTAAATAATATGTTTTTGTAAGAGTTCTTCCATAGGCAGATCCTTATATTTGCCTTATATTTATTTTGTTTAAACTTGTACCTTTTTATATGTTCTTTTACTTCAATAGAATGTCAATTCCTTGAAGGCAGGTGCTGTTTCATTTTTGTCTTTGCATACCCACCCCTGAGCACACTGTCTGGCACATAGTAGACACTTAAAAATGCTTGTTGATTGATTCAACACGTTACCAAAGGCAATCATGAATCTTAATAACTTGATATTTTAAAGCCCAGAGACAACGGTACAACTAGCAATGTAAAAGAACTGCTGGGCCATCACCAGTCATCATGACTTATGTCTTGCCATTGGACTCCAATGACTCCGGAGGAGAGAGTGAGGCTAGTGACTTTGCACAGTTCTGCCCCATTTAAATCCAATTCACTTGCAAGTCAAGACATCATCCTCCTGATGCCATTAGTCCTTTTCAAGAACAAAGGACAAATAACAACAAACAACAAAAGATTCTGTGGAACTCAGTTTCCTTATCTGGAAAATGGTTTCTGAAGTGTTTTATAGTATTAAAACAATATGATTCTTTGATACTATTCTATTTATTTGACCACAGATTCTATTAAAAGTCTTGCTTTCTTTCTTAGCTTTGAAACATATTTACAACATTTATTTATCTGAAATGACAATGTTTCTTTAAGCAACTATACCTTGTCCTTTCATGAAATAGCTGAAGAAGTCATTCCAAGAGCCATAGCTTGGAATATCAGGGACATCATTGTGGAAATGAAAGAAAGATGTTGCTGTATCTTTTGGATTTCTAAACATCACCAATATCTGAAAAGGAAAAAAAAGAGTTCAGTCTACCTTAAGTTTATGCTTATTCAATTAACAAAAGAACTAATGTAAACAATTTCATTTTATACTCCGACATTTGATTAACAAGTAGAAAAAATACCTCTTGCTGTGGAGATAAGAGCAGTACGGATTAATGGAGCATACACTAGCTCTGTAGCAGAGGACTTGGGTTCAAGGTCTCTCTATAATGCTTAAGGACCTCGAACAGATCACCTCAACCTACTGAGTCTCTGTTTCCTCAACTATAAAATGAGGATGATAATTGTACCTACTTCCAGCAGTTGTTGTAAGGATCAAATAAGATGATACTTATGAAGTGCTTAGTATATAGTAGGTGCTTAATGAATGATTGCTCCCTTATCATGTCTTTTGCTCTCTTCTATGTGTGTGCTGTGGTGTGCTATGGTTGAAAGAGCCCTGGGAACTGAAGTTAGAATACCTAGGTTTAAGTTCTTGTTCTACTCTTTACTAATTATATGTGGTTTTGAGCAAGTTATCCAATTTCTACAACTACAAAAAATGTATATAAAAACACTTTGTAAACTGAAAAGCCCTATTCAAATATAAGATATTATTATCATTACCTTATTTTCTTTAAGGAATGGAATAGCAAAGCTATATATAATAAAGGGAAAGGTGGTAAAAGGGGAAGTTGAAATTCTGATTATTTATTCCTATTATTTATTCATTATCCATGTTTTATTAGGTCAGAAGCTCCATGTAAGTAGGAATTTCATCTTATTTATATTTCTCTGAGTGCCTTGGGGGGGGCAGGATTTGGAGGTGGAAAGAGCCTTCAGTCTTGCCAACTGTAACATTCCACTTCATACCCATCATATTGGCAAAGTTGATAGAAAAGGAAAATGACAAATGTTGGAGGGTCTTCAGGGAAACAAGTATAGTAGTACACTGTTGGTGGAACTCTGAATTGGTCCAGCCATTCTGAAAAGCAATTTGGAACTCTACCCAAAAAATTGCTAAACTGCGCTTACCTTTTGACCCAGTAATACCACTATTAGACCTATATACCCATCAAAGGAAGAGGAAATAATATTTGCATCACACCCAAAAAATATAGCAGCTCTTTTTGTAGTGGCAAAGAACTGGAAGTCCATCATTTGTGGAATGACTGAACAAATTATGGTATATGAATGTGATGGAATACTGTTATGATGTAAGAAATTATGGGGTGAATGATTTCAGAGAAACCTGAAAAAACTTCTATAAATTGATGCAGAGTGAAGTGAGCAGAACTGCGGGAACAACTTATACAATAACAACACTGTAAAGACAAACAACTTTGAAAGACTTAAGATCTCTGATGAATACAAGAACCAACTGTAATTTCAGAGGACCCATGTTGAGATTTAGGAGGCAAAGCCAAGGTTTATTATGTATGTTTCAGCATAGATTTGGAGTTTCTCAATCATCTCTGAACAAGAACAGAGATTTCCTAAAGCTTGTATAGTTTCTAATCACATCAAAGTGATGAAGGTAAAGATTATAATTTTTGGATTTATAGACACCAAAAAGGAGACAGGAATCCATACTTGCACTAGAGGAAAAATAAAGATTTACCTTACACAAATACACTTGTAAGATTTACATTTCAAGGATAGGCTTATGAGATGTACATTTCAAAGATACACTTGGAAAGTTTTTAATGGGTTAATTGAGAGGAAGAAGTTTTATAGCCAAAACATAATTAAAGAAGAGAAATCATGTCAGAGCTGGTTGAGAATTTATCAATAAAGAATAGAAAAGGGGGTCATTTAGGTTTTACAACCATGAGGTGGTTGTAAATTATTTTACAATTTCTTACCTCTGTTAAAGAATAATTGGAAGTCTCAGTTGGTTTAACGCACCTTAAAGAAAGCCTCAGCTTTGCTATGTGACTTTCTTCACAATTAAAGATAGCTATATTGAACCCAAATAATAATGGAGTAAAGGAATCAGAAATTCTTACACCATAATAAAATGTTGTCTCTTTTGGATATTTTACTTTATCATGAATAAGTGTGATAATGAAGAGTTCATCCTGGAATAAGGTGAGGGGAATTCCTGTGACATGAAGACCAAAAGTATCAGTAAAATATATTTAAAAAAAAAACTGAGACCAACCCCATTGGGTATCTGACCTCAATAAAACTTTGTGATGAGGAAATGAACTAAGGTCACTGTGAGCATTTCAATGGCAGTGGAGAGGGCATCCTGTAGACACTCACCTTGGCTTTGTTTGTGAAGATGGACTTGGGCAGTTTGTCATACTGAAGATGAGTTGCCAAAATCCTTGGAGATGGGAATTGTTTCATCCTCTGTAAAAAACAAAAACAAACAAACACAAAAAAAAACAAGTGAAGGAAGATTGCTATATGTTCAAGGTTAGGACTATTCATTCCTTAGCCTGGGTAGGAAGCCAGTCCTATATACTTCTTTAGGAAACTCCTCTCTTGTCCTCTCCCTTTTCCTCCCTAACCTTTCCCTCCATTATTAGATTGGATCTTCTACTTCCCATCCATAGTTTGACTAGCACTTCAGTATCTCCATTTTTCATCAGTGAATGAGGGCTTCTCAGGCCCCAGCTTTGGTTTTACATTCAGTCTTTCACTCTTTATTAAGTCCCTCTGCCTATCTCATGCTGTTTTTCCTTGTGGTCTCTCAGATTGCTTATCTCTTTCTAGCTGTGGCTTCTTCTGTCATTCTGTGCCTTCAAAACCCTTCTACATTTCTGCCTTATTAATGATGGGAAGAGGCAAAAGGGATTTCCTTTCTGAAATGGTTTTTTTTAATCAAAATTCCTAGGTATCAAACAACTTACCAATGATAATTGCTAATTTATTATCTATCATGCGTTAGGCACTGATTTAGGTGCTTAGGATATAAAAACAAAGAATGAAACAATCTTTGTTCCTAAGGACCTTAATGTTCTATTTGCAGAGATAACTATGCCATCAATGATAGCACATTAGACCTTTTGCTCATGGTAGATCTCTTTTCATATAAATGTAATGGGGATCTGATCAAAGGAGTTTCTTCTTCAGAGCATGCAAAACATAGTCTGCTTACAGCTAGCCCATATGGAAGAGGTTGGGGAACTTGCTTCCAGAAATGCATGAAGATAGGTAATGCAATGCCTTGTTCCATGATTTGGAATAAATACAAACATTTTGTAATTGATTCAGTTCTACTAACCATGTGGATAAGGGATAGATTATTGATTGGCTGCTGAATTGAAATTAGTCAACCAGCAAAACCTGGTTACTAAGTTTATTTGTCTTGTTCTTTCCTGTCTAGATGCTATTCAGGAAAGAGACACAGGCTATAAACCTTTAGATGAGGAGAGGCCTCAAGCCCTCCTCCTTTGGGACCAATATGTGGCCTATGAACACAAGACACTCTTCTTGGCCTCTTTGCCTTTCTTCTTTCCTACTTCAGGTGAAGGAATATTAGAAATAGCTACAATGGCCTTGAAAGCTTCAAAAGCTTGGAATGGAACTTGCAGTCTATGTCTGAATTTGCCAGAAGCCAGATAGTGAGAAGCAAAGATCTGCTTGAGCAGTCAGAGCCCTAGGAGATCTAAGAGGAAGGTATAGTAATTGATTCATTTTCTAAAGCTGAATTTGGAAGTGAACTTGATGGGATAAATCCTATGTAGAAAATGTATTAATTTTGATCCTCCTCTCTCTGGGGGGAGAAATGATATAGAGAAAACTGTGCCCTAAAGTATTGAGAGGAAATGCCTTGTAACTTCTGCTCTTGCTAAATATGAAGTAAATGTTCAGTCATGTCCAACACTTTGTGGCCCCATTTAGGATTTTCTTGGCAAAGATACTGGAGTAGTTTGTCATTTCCTCCTCCAGTTCATTTTATAGTTGAGGAAATGGAGGCAAACAGGGTTAAATGACTTGCCCAGAGTCACACAGGTAGTATCTGAGGTCACATTTGAACTCAGGGAAATGAATCTTCTTGACTTCAGGCCCGGCACTCTATCCACTGCACCACCTAGCTGCCATATGAAGTAAATATCCCTTTGCAAAAGCTACGATGTTAAATGTAGAGAACACACTGGAATGGGGTCGGGGGTGGGGGGGGAGGGGGAGAGTAGGGCTGGAACCATAGCAATACGGAAACATTCTCCAGGGTGATCTGTGCACTGTGTGCTTAATAAATAAAAACTCCTCTTTTCAAAGAAAGGCCAGTTAAAATGCAAGATGGATAATATCTACCAAGAGATATTATTTAGCCAAAGCAAAAAGACCCTTTGTTCCTAATAGCCTTGAATATCTGTTAAAAAAAAAATAGGGTGGGGAGGAACCTATCCATTGGTTGCTATGATTAATGTGGACAGTGAAAGAGAATACCAGCAAAAAATAATGAAGACATAAATATGTATTTGAATTTCCATAGGCACAGCAAGTTATAGTCTTGGCTAGTTTTGACCTAGATTTTTGTATCTGTCAGTGCACTGAATGCAATATTTGTGGATATAAACCAGGAGAAAACTATAATGCTAAATTTGAAATGTTTCTTAAAATGAGTTTCTTTGATATTCTTGGGAGGTTACAATTTTGAAACAGGAAAATGAGTAATCTTAAAATTTGAAAGTGGACTGGAGTTATTTCAGTCTTTATGGTAACAGTTTCAGTCTTGGCAACAACAGTTTGGGGAGTAAAAGAAAAAGTTTCCAATGTAATACAATCTTGAATTGAGGAAAAACTGAAGAGGCCATGTTCTGGGAACTTGAACAAACGAACGAGGAGGCAGAATAATGTAGAGGAAAGAATGCAAGCATTCACCTCTGGCTCCTGTACAATAGCTATATGGCAAATCACGGCAACTCTGAGCCTCAGTTTCCTCTTCTACAAAATGGGGATGATAATACATTTATGCATCTTCCTCACAGGATTAGTTAGGGATTAAAGTGAGATATTATGTATGTGTATCTTTATACATTTTTAAAAGCTATATGCATATAAACTTATTATAATAGAATCATAGGTGTACAGTTAGAAGGGATCTTAGAGGTCATCTAGTCCAACTCCATTATTTTATAGAGGAGGAAATGGAAATCCAGGGAAATTATTATTGCCTAAAATCATTTAGGTGATGCAATGGATAAAACATGGAGCCTGGTGTCAATCATGGAACTTGAGTTCAAATCCAGCTTCAGACACCTTCTAGCTGTATGACCCTGGGGGAGTCACTTAGTCTTTGTCTACCTCAATTTCCTCAACTGTAAAATGGGGTATAATAACAGCACCTATCTTCCAAGGTTATTTTGAAGATCAAATGAGATAATTTTTGTACAGCATTTAGTACAGTACAGAGCATACTAGACACTTAATAACTGGGAAGGCTTAGAAGCTCCTTTTAAGCTGAGTAGGGTTTGTTTCATTCTTTGTATTTGTATACCCAGCACCTGACACTGTACCTGGTATATAGTAGGTACTTAATAAATGCTTGTTAATTTACTGATCCATTCAATGACTTCAAAAAATTGATGACAAAGCATGCTTCCAACCTTTCAACAGAAATATAGTAGAAGTTCCTTCTTTCCTCCTTTCCTTTCCTTTTCTTTGAGGTTAATTTCCATCTATTCTGTATGTATTCTGTATATACCTATTTATGTGCATATTGTCTTCTTCATTAGAATGTAATCTCCTTGAAGGTAGATACTGTTTTTTCTAAAATATATCAAAAAGATTTAACACAGTGCCTGGCACACAGTAAGTGCTTAATAAGTATTTGCTGATTGATAATATGCCTTGATTCATCTCTAATGTTGGTGGCAATGATCTCTTCCTTTTTTTGAATAATGTTATTTTCCCCCCAATTATATGTACAAATAATATTGGACATTCATTTTTTAAAAATTTTGAGTGCCTGATTCTCTCTCGCCCTCCTCTCCTCCTCGTTCCCTGATATGGTAAGCAAATTGATTTGTTATATATGAGCAATCATGTGAAACACATTTCCATATCATTCATCTTGTGAAAGAAGACACAGACCAAACAAACAAATAAACCCAAACCATGAAAAATAGTATGCTTTGGTCTGCATTCAGACTCTATGCAACAATCTCTTCTGATCACTGTACACTCACCCCCAATTTTACATAGTTACATTGTAGACATCCCCTTTTCTGCAGGAAAAAACCCCCATATGCTGCATTGTTTGTAAGGGGTGTGCTATTCCATGGGCTTATCTTAGTATCCCCAAAAGAAACACTATCTAGTCACCCTTCCCCTGTTTCTAGTTGTAGCCTCATTGGGGGGAGGGTGTGTGTGATCATGCCTTGTTTACATGCCCCTATATAACTGGAGAATTCTTTAGGATTAAACACATGGTTTATGACATATTTAATGACTACAGAAATAGTTACCCTCCCCTCATCACAGGAAAGAAAAAAAATGTAAAACAATAACAGAAATTGCTGACAGACATAGATAAAGTTCTTTAAGGTTTAACCACACATCATCACAGTTTCACTTAGTCCTTACATAATTTAGCTATTGGGTCAATAGGAATGAAAACTATCAGATCACCTGTATGTATATATGTATATATGTGTGTGTGTATATAATATATATATATATATATGTATGTATACACACATATATATATATATATATTTATATTTGTCATCATTATCATTAGCGTCTTTCACTCCTAATTCCCTTCCCCTTTAAAAAAACAAACAAAAAACATTATTCCCTGTAGCAAATAAATAATCAAGCAGAAAAAATCCACATAGTGACCATGTTTGAGAACATATGTCTCATTCTACACCTCAAATCTATTATATTTCTCCTAATAAAGCATGCTTTATTATCAGTTTTTGGGAGTCATTGATTTGATCAGTAAATCAACAAGCATTTATTAAGTTCCTGCTATGTACCAAGCATAGCATTAGGTTCTGGGGATACAAATACAAAGAATGGAACCATCCCTACTCAATTTAAAAGGAGCTTCCAATCATTTCTAATGAAAAGACCAGAAATGAGTAAAAACTTTGAAATATAAACACAGGAGCCATGAGAAATGTAAAACTAAATATGAGTAAGCAATGAAGAGAGATTAAATGAGGATTAAGTATTTAAATTATAATAGGAAGAGATGATACAAATTTCTCTTGGGAGCCTTCATGTCATCAGGGGTCACAGAGGGAATTCGTTATGACAGAGAGATGGTTTTGTTATGTTTTGATGATTTTAAGAGAAGAAAGAAAAGGAAGAAAAGGAATAAACAGGTGGGAAAAGCAGAAGGATGTGATGGAATTTATAATCATCAGTGTAAATAGAAAATCATACAAATAAAAAGGAAAGGATGGGGAGAATTGGCAACATTTGAACCTCACTTTTATGTGAACTGATCAAAGAAGGGTAGAATACACATAGAGAAAGTTGACAGTGGAAATACATTTAACTCAACAGGAAATTTTTTATTAAACTACTTGAACAAGCAGCCTTTCCCCAGGGATAATACCCCAATTCACTTGAACCTAAAGATTACTTCTTGCCTCCCATCCATGGAGCCCAATTCTTGACACTGCCACAGTTAGCTACCCAAAGTTACAGTGCTGTTGACTTGCTCCAGATGTGGAGTCATAATTCCTAAAATAACTCGGTTATTGCTTCAATGGAAGGATCACTTTGCTAGCCTTCTATCCCTTTATATATTTTCTTGTTCATGGTGATGGCCGAGTACTGTTGACATATCCATCTTTATCACCTCCTCCTCACAAGTAATTTGGATTCTACCCTAAGCTCTCAGCTTTGATGGGTCTGCTTTTGCCTTCTCTTGCTGGGGCACAGGACTTCAGTCACTTTCTGCACAGTGCTCTCTTTTCCAAGCTCCTCTTTCTGTGTCTTCTTTCCCCATTAGCATATAAGCTCCTTGAAGGCAGGGGTTGTCTTCTCAGTTTGTATTTGTATTCTCAGTGCTTGGCCCAATGCCTCACAAATAATAAGTGCTTAACAAATTTTTTTTCCCTACCTATCTATCTATCCAAGGATAGACTGGAACTGACTTTGGTCAGTAGTACTGACTCTGTAACCAGAGGTGCAGTACTTTTATACCAATACCAAATTGGATATAAGACTTCTACTCCAGAAGGCTCTGAATTTATCTGCTCCTGCACATCCTCAAAATAAGCCTTGGCTTATGATGATTCTTGTAAAGTCGCTTCCTGCATCTCATACTTTGAATAGTCTAGCCAACTATGATCCAACTCACCCTTTTACTACTTACTACCAGTATCACCTTGAGTGAGTCACTTGACTTCTTTGAGACTCAGTTTCCTCATCTTTCAAATGAGGAATTTGGACTGGATGATCACTCCAGCTTGATATACTATGAAACCCATGAAAATCTTAGGGAAATAGTTACATGATTCTGGGAACATTCCTTAGAGACCAATCTACCCCAGACCTTTAATGTATCTTAATCTGTAATGTTTCCTCACCAAAGAAACCTGTTACATAAAATTTGATTCCCCAGCCAGCACATTTCTGGATTAAAGGAGTGCCATGTCAAATACAGTTGGAACCAGAATATGGATGGCATAGCCCTCTGTTAAGTAAAATATTTAAAAGACATCAAATTTACTAAATAGCCTTCTGTATCCCAGAAAGTATCTGTAAGTTACATGTTAATCATGAGGTTTGTGTGGTTCACCTAGAAACCAACCTGATGCTGGCCGGGGATCACAATAGGAAAAGAAGCACCACATCTTTCCTCAAAAGTCGTAACATTTTGATTATATCAAATGTAGTTTCTCATTAGCAAATGGTTTAGGATCGTTAGTGTAAAATGACAGGGATGAGTCCTGGACTTTAGAGCTGCATTCTGTACTACTCATGACTCTCTCTTCTGAGTTTTAGACCCTTTAAACAAAGTTCAGCTAGTCATGAATATCTTTCAAATTTAGATGCTCTTATTTACTAAACTAGGACTTACCAAATGGATGGAAAGATTCCTTTCCTATGTTGATACTTCTATAATTTCATAGCTAAGATACTAACCTGATATTTTTCTGGGTCTCCACATTCAAGAACTGGAAATTCTGGATGTTCATACTTTTGGGGGGAGATGGCACATATTAATTCACTAAAGATCTGGAGAAGCCAGTTTGATCCTATACCACAGTAAGCAAAAGAAAATTAGTTGGAAACAAGGGGGGGGGTAGAGAATGCCCAAACATGTAGTATTTAAGTAAAAATCACCTTACTGAAAATTAATCTTAATAGAAATAAAATAATAGTATATTTCCTTCTGAAAATGTCCTATTTGTACATTGACACAAAATTACAAATGGCAATTTGTTAGCTATCTTGTTTTATGATGCATTATTTAATATGTTAAAATTCACAGACTAGATTTTTGGGTTTTTTTTTTCAGGGGGAAGGTTGTATCAAATGGGTTATATTTACCACACTTGGGATAAGATGCCAGCACTATGTCCTCTCTTCTGGCTTCAAAGTGGTCCAGTGCTTGGAAAGTTTCTGCATTGCATATGGTGATTGGGTAAGTGATTCCCTGATAAGAGAAAAGAAGGCAAGAAAGGGCAGTTTCTCTAGATTTTTCCAAAGCTTCATCAATGTATTCAATAACTTTGGAGTTCTGGGCCATGTTCGCTTCCTGTTATTCAGCAGAAGTAGTAGCTTTTAACTAAACTCTAAGTGGGTGGAGTAAAGAAAAATCCTAGGGTTTCTCCTGTACTCATGAGAAACATGTAATTTCTTTCCTGCCCATCCTCCTATAGGGAAAAAAAAAAAAGCAAAATACAGGTGCTTGAAAAAGACCAAGGAAATCATTGAAAACTAATCCGTTCTAAAGGCCAGAATCCATTACTCGGGGATAAATATGTCAGTAAGCCACACTTGGCCCCAAAAAAGGAATTGAAAAGATACCTCTGCTTCCTTACTTTGCAGAAAAAGATTATGGATGTGGATGTCGAACATTGCACAGACTGTCAGAACTAATTGATATAGTAGTTGATTTTGCTCAACTGCTTTTTTTTTCTTTCTACTTTTTTTTAAACTCTTTTTTAGGAATGACTTCCTCGAAACAGGAAGAGATTGGTATATGTTTCAGAATGAAGATCCTTGGCATTATTAAACAGTTCAACATAAAAAATGGATATACAGCTTTATCAACAGAAATGACATTAAAGAAGATGTACAATCCTCTTTGCCACTAAACCTTAAGGACCACTGGGTCTTGCCATTGACTTGTAGCTGAAACCACCTATATTGTGTTATCTCCTCCTGTTAGAATGTGAGCTCCTTGAGAGCAAGGTCTGTCTAGCTTTTCTCTTTTTTGAATCTCTAGTACTTAGCACTTTGTACATGAAAAATCCTTGATAAATTATTTTTAATTCATTCATTCAGTAAAAACAAGAGATACCTGTTTTTAAAAATATAATGTCCCCCTCCAAGTTAAAGAAAATAAGCTACCATTGCTAGTAGGAATGACAAAATATTTATTGAAATTAATCTTTGTTTTTATATTAAAAGAAAAGATCCATTTAGCGAATGAAAGATTGTGTCTGCTTATTGCATCAAATAGGTCCTACAAGAACTATATCTCTGACCATATGAATAAACCTATTAGATATCAAGTTTCTTATATCCTTGTGCCTCTGGACCAAGAAATGTATTTTAACCAAATCTGGGCAAAATTCTTACTCTCTGTCATCCATGTTTTAGAGATAAGTGATTATATTTTATTTTGGGATCTCTTTCTTGAGGTGACTGATAGATTCTTTTGATGCCTATTTTGCTCTCTGGTTCCGGGACATCAGGGCAGTTTTCCTTGATAATTTCTTGAAAGATACTGTCCAGGTCCTCCTTTTGATAACGTCTTTCAGGTAGTCCAATAATTCTGATATTGTCTCTCCTGGATCTATTTTCCAGGTCAGTTGTTTTTCCCACGAGGTATTTTACATTTTCTTCCATTTTTTCATTCTTTTGAATTTTTTTGGATTGATTCTTGATATTTCACAGAGTTATTAGCTTCCAGTTGCCCAATTCTAACTTTTAAGTTGTTGTTTTCCTCCATTAGCTTTTGTACTTTCTTTTCCATTTGGCCAAATCTACTCTTTAAGGAGTTGTTTTCTTCAGTGAATTTTTGTATCTCCTTTTCCATTTGGTCACTTCTACTTCTTAAGCAGTTTTTCAAGGTGTTGACTTTTTTCAGATCCTCTTGTGCCACTCTCATTTCTTTTCCCATTTTTTCTTCTACTTCTCTTATATGATTTTTAAGCTCCTTTTTGAGCTCTTCCATGAGTTATTTCTGGGCTGGAGACCACTTCCCATTTTTCTTTGAGGTTTTTGCTCAAGGTGTTTTGACATTGTTGTTCTCTTCTGAGTTTGTATCTTGGTCTTCCGTGTCACCATAATAACCTTCTATGATCAGATTCTCTTTTTGTTGATTTTGGCTGGGAGCCTTTTTCCTTTCTTTTAAATTTGAGCTCTACACCTTGGGTGGAAAGGGGCACTATCTCAAGCTTCTTGTGCCAGTGGCTGCAGGCCCTGGCTGTTTACTTGGTGTTGTGCTGATGTTGACCTGAGGCCCCCTGGGGGACCCTCATGTCTGGTACTATATTGAGGGAGTGGTGTGGCTGCTGGCTGGTGATGCTGGAGGCCATGGGCCTCAGGCAGCTTACCTGATGCTTTACTGGGGTGCTAGTGGTGGTGCCTGGCATGTGCTAATGCCCGGTGGGGGTGTCTCTGCATTTCCCTAGGACTACACTGAAGCACGTGGAGGTCTGGCTTACTTTCTAATCATGCAGGAGGATGCCTGTTTTCCCAGGGGTATGCTGAAGGTGTGATGATTCTCCACGCTGGAATCTGCCAATTGAAAGGGGTCCTGTTATTGGTGTTTGCCTGCTCCACCACACTGGGGCTCAGGATCATGATTATATTTTAGTAAACAGTACCACCAGTATATAGAGCTAAAGAGTAAATTATGACAATTCTAAGATGGAAGCAGAGAACAGTTTCATCCTCTCTTAACCTTTCACTGAGTCAATAGGTGAGTATATACTTATAAATCCAGGATTTATGATTTTGTCAGTATGGATATACTCTCCACTCATACCTATTGTAATCTCTCTAGACCTCAGTAGATGGTTTTTCACAGTTTCTATGATCAAAAAAATTCATCAATCTGCAGCCAGCTCAGAAAAATGATCAACCTCTCTGAACTCAAGGAAGACAATCCTCAGGTCATCACCAGGTTCATATTTTGAATCATAGGGTCATAAATTGAGATCTGGAAGGGACCTTAAAAGGCTGTCTAATCCAATGCCTTCATATGTGAAGCCTTTTCAGCTTAGTGTTCAACCTGCTAAAACTTACATTGTTTTGATAAAGTTTTGAGAACCCTATACCACAATGAGGCATTGAAGTAGGATGTTTAATTCATTTAATTTTAAAAAATACATTTTGATTCTTCTCCCATGTTCTTGAGGGCATGGGCTAATTTTTTTAAAATTTTCTTTATCTTTCCCAACACAGTATCTGCTTATCACATAGTAAGTGCTTAATAAATTTTTTATTAATTGATTGATTGGCTTATATCAATCAATAAGCATTTATTAAATTCCTAGTATGTAGTGTGTACTGGGTAAAAAAACAAAAGTGAAACAATCCTTGCCCTCAGGAAGTTTACATTCTATCAAGTGAGACAACATGTACATGTGCAAGTATAGATAAATATATATTTAGCTTTTTCGGGGGAAGCACTAGCAGCTGGAGGGATCAGGAAGGCCTTACGCAGAATGTAGCATTTGAGCTGAAATTTGAAGGAAACTGGGCAGCTAGGTGGTGCAGTAGATAGAGCACTGTGCTTGGAATCGGGAAGAGTTATCTTCATGAGTTCAAATCTGATCCTACACACTTACTTGCTGTGTGACCCTGGGCAAGTCACTTAACCTGTTTTCCTTAGTTTCTCATCTGTAAAATGAGTTGGAGAAGGAAATGGCAAACTCAAGCATCCTTGCCAAAAAAAACTCTAAATGGAGTCACAAAAAGTTACACATGACTAAACAACAACAACATTGAAAGAAACTAGGGATTTTAAGAGGCAGGAGTTTAAGAGGACATATATTCTGTGTATGAAGAATGGTCACATGTGAATAAACCATGCCACTTGGGGACTTGAATTCTCCCTAATTTTAAAAAACAAAAACTAATAAACAACCCTGCCCTACCATCCTACCAAACAACAAACAACAAACAACAACAACAACAACAACAACAAACCAATTTAACATGGCTACATGGCACAGTGAAAAGTGTACTGAATTTGGACTCTGAACCTGTGCTTAAATACCCATGTGACATTCAGCAAGTTACTTCTCATGTATAAAATAAGGAGGTTAGACTTGATGATCTCTAAACTCCCTTCTAGCTCTAGATCTTGGCTACCATGAACCAACAACGCAATCATGTTTGACAATATGTTCGATATGTTCAACATTCTGACCTCATGGTCCTCTGACTGTCTGCCAGAGGGAGGGAAACATGTTTCATCATCTGTTTTCTGAGACCATTGGTGGATACTTCAGTTACTCAGTTTGGCTTCCATTTAGTGCCCTTTTCATTTACATCTGGATATTGTTCTTCTGGTCCAGCTGTCTTCACTCTGCATCATGCCTTATGAAGCTTCCCGTGTTTCTCTCAATTCTTCACACTTGTCATTCTCTTATTGTTGTTCAGTCATTTTTCAGTTCTGTCCTACTCCTTGTGACCCCTCTCATTCCTTATCACATGGTAATGAGTTTCAGAGTTGGCACCTAGGGTGGAAAGGCAATGATGCATTGGAGAGCTGAAGCAGTCAAGCTCTATTGAAGTCAATAACAGTAATGTGACCTGGAGCAGAGAACAGAAAACAAGGACCGTGGTCAGGTGAACCCACAATGCCCCTCAGAAATGGAGGATAACAGCAATGAAGCATCTTCAGGGCAACACAGTAGATAAACTAATGGACTTTGAGTAAGGAAGAGTATGTTCAGATCTCACCTCTGACACTAGCTTTGTGACCATTAAGTAAGTCACAACCTTTCCAAACATGATCTGTAAAATGGGGATAATAATACCTCACAGGACTGTTGTGAGGCTCAAATGAGAGCCTTAACAACTTAAAATTTCATTAAGACTTTTGGAACATCCTGTACAAAGGTCAGTAATTATTATCTGTGGAGGATCAGCTGAATATCACAAAGTGCCTATGATGTTTGCTGGGGATAGACGATAGTAGCAATCAAACAAGGCTGACAGAGAAAAGAAACAGGGCTTTTTTGCACTGTCACTTGATGACAGGGAGCTGGAGCAGAGAAGCCAGGAAAGGATCAACTACTGGGGAAAAGACTAAGTTGTGTACATGTGGTATGCTCCTCCACTCCTCTCACTCCCCTCCCCCTCCACAAAAGAACATAAGCTCCATGAGGGTGGGGACTGTTTCATTTTGTCTTTTTATCCTCATCTCTGAGTACAATGCCAGAGATGTTGGTTCCTGGACCTGTGATTCCTGTTGGGGAAAACTCCCTTTACCAATTCAAAGCAGAAACTGTTCAGCAACTTAATACTTTTGGGGAATTGCGTAGGGTGTGAGTTTAAATGACTTGCCCAGGTTCACACGGCCAGTAGTTATCACAGCTTGAACCTAGCTAGGTCTTTCTGACACCCAGGCCAACTCTTTGCACTAGGCCAAGCTGCTGCCTCTCCTGAGAATCCTGATATTTCTATATTTTCATACACTATTACCACAAGAGAGTTTGTTAGCTAACAACTCATATAAAATAATCACTGCTTGTGAAAGCTTATTCACTAAAACAGAGGGAGAGAGAGAGAGAGAGAGAGAGAGAGAGAGAGAGAGAGAGAGAGAGAGAGAGAGAGAGAGAGAGAGAGAGATGGATAGACTTCACTTACTTTCACTTAAGCTGGTGACTGAATTTGCTGCTCAATCACTTCAGGGTATTATCATTTACTCTACAGTGCTGTTGGATTCAAGTCAGGAAAGATTAAGATCTTACCTGGAACATTATTCATTTATTTACTTCTCAGTAAGATGAAACAGTAAAGGAGACAATACAGCAGATCATGTTATAAAATTAATGCTGTAATTTATAGGAGGATTTGGGGAAAACATTGGTTCAGTAATATGAACTCATTTTCCTGTTACTTAGGATCATAGGATCATAGATTTGGAGCTGGAAGTGACCTTGGAGGCCAACAAGTTCCACCCTTATACTTTACAAATGAGGAAACTGAGACACAGAGAGGTTAAGTGATTTGCCCAGGGCCACACAGCTAGTAAGTATATGAGGCAGGATTTTAACCCAGGCCTTATTGACCACAAGTCCAATGCCCTTTCCATTATACCATGCTCCCTCAAGATAGTGTCTCAACAAAGAATGGTACTTTTATTTTTAAAATATGCGCAGTCAGCTCTACATTATTTGCCATAAGGGAGGGAAGTCATAGCATGGATAAGCCAATAGTTCAGTAGGTCCATAATATTATCATAGATATGGGTGATTCCTCAACTTAAATAGATCACAACACCTCCAAGCTTTCTTGTCCTGTACAATTTTTATCCTTTTTCTCCCACTGTGTGACCCTGGGCAAGTCACTTGACCTCTGTCTCAGTTTTTTCAACTATAAAATGGAGATAATGACAACTACCTCACAGGGCTACTATGAGGATCAAATGAGATCAAAACACTTAGCATAGTACCTGTCACATAGTAAGCATTTAATAAGTGCATATACCCTTCCTATTCCTCTTCACCTCCTACAGATTTTCCATAGAGGTTTTACTCTGGAAGAATATCCTGGCAGCCTTCCTGATAAGGAGGCAGAGTGGTATGGTAGAAAAAGATCTGGCCCTGGAGTCAGATGACCTAGGTTTACAGCTCATCTCTGATGTGACCTTGTGCAAATCTTAGTTTCCCCACCTGTTTTAAAATGAGAGGGCTGACCACCTACTATATACTATATAAGCTCCAAATAGATACATGATGTATGTATAGATACCACATAAAAGGTGGTATCATAAGCTAATTAAAGGAGCAAAGAAGAAATTGTATTTCAGATCTATGAATAAGGGAAGAGCTCATAACCAATCAAGGGAGAGGATCAATAATATAAAATGGACAAGGTTGATTACATAAAATTAACAAATCCAATGCAGTTAAAATTAGAAGTAAAATATAACAGGTGAAAAATCCTTGCAGTAATTTTGCTGATAAAGGTCTTATTTCATATATGTATATGTATATGTATATATATATATGCATATATATACATATACATATATACATATATACACATACACACAGAAACACATATACACACAGAGAAACACATATACATATATGTATGTATATACATATATGTATGTATATACATATATACATATACATATATGATTCAGATTTATAATAAGAGCCATTTCCCCCAAATGATAAATAGTCAAAGATACCAGTGGAGTTATGAATTGGTCTAACCACGCTAGAGGCACTTAATAAATACTTGTTGACTTATAGCTTTCCAAAAGTTCTGCGTCCATTTTGGATAATCCAAAAATCATATGCATTGGGCTTTGGAATGAACTTTCACATAATGCCTGCATGTGGGCTTTGGTACAGTCTGTTTGTCTCATTATGGCACAAGAGGTGACCTTGAAATCTCAAAGGCTATGCCATTTAAGTACAAACTCAAATGGCAGGCTCTCTCATATAGAAAATCTTTGAGCATGATTTCTAACAATATACTGAGTTTGTCCTCTGAGGACTAATCTAACTAAACACAGAGATACTCATTACTAATAGGCTAGTCACTAGGTGATGAAATCTTTAGCTGAAACAACTCATAAAACAAGGAAAAATAAAAAAGACCCTCTATCATTTGGCAATGATGATGGTAGAGTGGGAGAGAAGGGGCCTGAGGGTGCTAAGAATGACATACCACTCATATACCCTCTGTAAACAAAAATTCATGTGGTCTCTAAATGCAAGATCTTTGCCAACTTTCATAGGAATATGGGTGAATCTGATGCTCTGTGAATTCATTATAATGAAAACATACATGATAAAATTATTTGAGAAAAGCTAGAATGCTGCCCAGTTTCCTCATTGACCCATTGCTTCCCTCTCCGTGCTGGACATAAATAACATTAGCTTTCAGACTGTGTTGATCTGTCCTTTTTCTGTTTGAGCTGTCCATTTGATGAGGTAGGGAATATTTACTTAAAAGTCCTTTTCTCACAATTGGGGTTGGGCAGGTAATGGTGTCACTTATCTTAAAATCCCCTTTGAGATATGGCCCACTATATCGATTAATTGGGAAAGAAGTGTTGAAAGTTTGTTGAGGTTGAAATCAAACTACTGTTGCAACAGTATTGTTTACTTTTGCACTAGGGTGGTTGCAGTAGAGAGAAGACATTATGGATATATTTGGCATCTGTTTGATATGGGGAGAAGAAGAATGAGGAGTCAAAGATGACAGCAAGATTGAGAACCTGGCAGGAAAAGGTGTGCATGATAGTAACGGAGAAGTTTTGAAGAGGGGTGGTTTTAGGGGTGGTTTCAAGTAATGAAATCTGCAATGAAGATCACAAATCACCAATGCATGTTCAAAATGTTCAACTCATTTTGTTTCCCCAATTGAAAAAGGTTGTCTTATTCAGAGCCCACTCTCTAAAGACACCTACCACAGTCATAAGAATCTAGGGGAAGGAGCTGGTTTGAGGGGGAGGGGTAGTTACCAATGGTTCCTTCTTAGGAGTTAGGTTGTAACTATCCTGAGGGGCCAATACCCTTCTTGGAAGAAAAGAGATGGGTTGCTTATGCAGAGGAGAGAGAGGATGGAATGAGAGAGTACTGATGACAATGCCTCGAACACAGTAGGTACTTGGTAAATGTCTGTCAAATTTAATTCACAATATAGAGTTGCATGTTATGGACAACTCCTGTTCTCTTTATTTTTTCATTTAATTGTTTTCAGTCAACAAGCATTTATTTTCTCTCCTTCTCCCTTCCCCCACCCCAATGGGAAAAAAGAGAGAGAAAAATAAACTTTTCTTTTAAAAAAAAAGTACTTAGCATGCATAGTAAATTCTCAAATTAGCCATGTCCAAACAGTTATATGTTTCAGTCTGCACCCTGAGTATATTACCTTTCTGTAAGGTGTTAGGTAGCTTGTTTCATCAATGGTCCTCTAGAATCATGGTTGGTCATTGTGCTGATCAGAGTTCTTAAATCTTTCAAAATTATTCTTTTTACAATGTTGTTATTATATTTATTGTTTTCCTGATTCTGCTCACACCACTATGTCAAGTTCACATATGTTTTCCCAGATTTCTCTGAAACCAAACCTTATTGCTCCTTAGAGCACAACAGTCTTCCATTATATTCATATACCACTATGCTAAATATTGGGGATACAAATAGAAAAGTGAGATAGTTCCTGTTCTCAAGGACTTCATATTTTAATGGAGTAGACAACACATATGGAACGTTTCAGGTGCAAGTCAGATGGAAAGGTCCCCTGGTCCTTAGCGCACAGTGACAAAGCAGATGACCATGTTTCTTCCTTAATTTCCATTGATAAAATCATATCAGTTTCTAATGTTGAACCATTTGACAGTGCCTGAACTTTGATGGTGAGAATTTTCTTTTTGGGGTCATTTGCAAAAGCAATTGCCAGGCTGAATGCCCACAGGAGTTGCTTACCCAGATGACTTAAGGCAGCTGGGCTGGAAAAAGGGCTATTTAGAAGTGGGGGAGGACACTGATATTCCTAAGGCTATTAGACTCAGGGTCCTGGAGGGAAGTGGCACTCAAGGTGGTGGTGGTGGTTGACTGGCCTGACACAAGTGGCCTCCTAGATTTCCTTCTAGTTATCTCACAACTTTAGCTAGGTTGACTTGCCCACCCCGTAAGTGTCAGTTGGTTGACAGTTGGTAGGGATGGTTGGTACCTTCTCCATAAGTGTTGCTTCCCCAGATAATGCCTGGACTGGAAGCAGAACTAGTGGCCTGGATGATCTATCACTCCCAGGGCTCTGCAGATTACCTGCCTCTTGGTGACAGTTGGTCAGCAGTTGGTATTCGTGAAAGAGAGAAAGGTGAGCCCATTCCCCATAATGACTGCTGCCCTCAATGATAACTGCGGGGGCCAGGATTTTCCATATTTCAGTAGTGAGACCAGGAATAAAATGTTAGGTAACACTATGATTTCAACCTCAATAGGCATTTTGGACATCTTTTCCCCAATTAATCTATATAGTGGGCCACAGTTCAAAAGGAATTAGAAAAAAGATATGAGGACACCACCTTTCCAACCTTAGGCAGAAGGAAAAGACTTAAGCAAACCTCCCACATCTCATCATAGTTTACACAGAGAAAGCACAGGTCTACTCAATCTGGGAGGTAATGTTTTTCATCCTTGGCATGGAATAAGAAGCAATGGGGTAGAATGAGAAACCTGGGCAGCATTCTAGTTTTTCTCAAGCAACAATTTTACATGTGTTTTCATTACAGTGAATTCACAAGACATCAGATTCACTGATATTTCTATCCAAGTTGGCAAAAATATATATTTTGGAAAGCATCACTTAAATTAATGTTCACAGAAGGTATATTAATGGTGTGATTCTTAATAACCTCTGTCTCCTTCTGTCCCTCTGTCATGAGCACTGCAGAAACATATTTGTATGGATGTTGTATCCCTCTTAATTGGTCTTTGTGACTCAAGACTTTCCCCTCTCAATTCCGTCCTTCACAAAGATGTCATAAATTTGGCCTTACTCAGTAAACTCCAGGATGCCCTCCCCCGTTGACTGTAGCATTAATTATTATTTCATTTTTATCTCATCCCTTCTCATTTCTCTTTTATGATAATTTTACAAGGTACATAATTATTAGTGAAGTTGTACATGTATGTCACTTATAAATAAGTATTTGTACACATGTTGAAGGTACACACTCAAAAAGCTTTTAATGGTAAATGTATATGATCAAAAAAGTTTGGAGGCGATTGCCCTAGACAACAGGGAGCTATTAAAGGCTTTTGAGCAGGGGAACAACATAGGAAACACATTTTGACAGCTGTGTAAAGGATGGATTGGACAGAAGGTATCCCAGTTGAGAAACTATGATAATAGTCCAGGTGAGAAATGAAATGTTTTGAACTTGGGTAGTAACAGTACGAGTGGGGAGGAGGGGACTGATGGAAGATACATTGTGAAAGTAAAATTGACAAGACTTGCAAATGATTGGATGTAAGTGGGGTAGGGGAAAGGGAGGGAAGGGTGAACATGAGCCCACATCATGAGTTGGGTAAAATGGAGGATGGTTGTATGAGCCACAGAGAAATTTTAAGGAGAGGTCATTTTCTGTTAAATTTGAGGGACACATAAGTGGAGAACACAATTAGTGGGTAGCTGGAGATGTGGAACTGAGAACTCAGATAAGACCTAGGGAGTCATCTTACAGAAGCAACAATTGAAGGCATGAGATTGAATAAGACTGTGAAGGGAGAGAATTCAGAGAAAGAAGGCACAAGCGGCTATCTCATCATTTCACCCCCACATCCTCCACTGGAGAATTAAAGTTGAAAGAACTTTGTCCCCTCTGCTGAGAATTCACAATGAATCTCTCCCCCATAGTCTTTGAATGACGGAGGTGCACCTCACTGGTTGAAAAGCTTCCCTGCTTTTTCATACTTAAAGATATGGTGGAATGACCCTTTTTTCAATCTCCTTTTTACAGCTGAGAAAAGTGAGACTCAGAGAGGTTAAGCAACTTGTCCGTCAATCACACAACTAATGTGAGAGGCAGGATTCGAACACGAGTTTCCTGACTTTCAAGATCAGCTCCAAGTTCACTGCACCATGCTGACAGACAGTGGGATTTAAGTCGAGAAGACCTGGATCCATCTCTTGCCTCTAGACATTCTCTCTGGCCATCCCTTATATCTGGAAAGCTACTCCTCTACTTCTGGCCTGACTGCGGATCCCCCCTTGTCTTCCTTTTAAGGCTCAACTAAAATCCCACCTCATACAGGAAGCCTTCTCCAACTCCTCTTAATTCCGGTGCCTTTTCTTTGTCAATTGTTTCCTATTCATCCTGTATGTAGTTTGATTTGTACATATTTGTTTGGATGTTGTCCCTCCCTTTAGATTGTAAACTCCTCGAAGGCAGAGATTGTCTTTTGCCTCTTTTTATATCTCCGGAGCTTAGCACACAGCGCCTGGCACATAGTAAGCACTTAGTAAATGTTTATTGATTGATTGAAATCCGGCTTCTGACAGTAGTTGTGTGTCCTGGACAAATCTTCCTCCTGGAACCTCCATTTAACCAGGGGCATAATAAGAGGACCTACCTTCCAGGGTTGTTGGGACTATCAAATGCGATAGATCGAGTATGTAAAGCGCTTTGGGAAAATGCACAGAATGCGTTGTACAAACTTTAAAATGCTATAATAAGTTGAGGAATTAGCGTATATAACACAGCCTTTCATGGGTTTACTGAGGCACTCTGGAGGAAGGGTAGGGAGAGAAGCCCCTCCCAGGACGGTCAGAACCGTGCAGAGGGAGCCCGTTCTCCTCACTGAGCCTAGACAGCGCTCAGAGCGCGTCGCCAAGGGGGCGGGGTCGTAGCTCTAGCCTTAGAGATGGTTAGCGTAAAAACACATTGGGGGCGGGGCTCCAAGCAGGGCAGCCACTTGGAAGTCTCCGGGGCGGGGACAAGGTTTCCTGTGGGAAGTGGAGTTCCGGGGGCGGGGCCTGTCGCCTCTACTGGATGTGCGCGGGGGTGGCGCCGAAGGTGGTGCAGGTATGTATTTGGCGCTTTGGGCTCCAGTTAATGCACGCCAGTTGGGTCCCTTTGCTGGGCATTATGACGGCAGTGCGGTTTCTGGCTTATTTAGTCCGATACTGCCTTCCTTTGAGCTTAGCGGTCACCCCGTGGAGTCCGGCCCTGGCGAATGAAAGTGTCTGCGGGGGAAGGAGGGCAAACGTTGAGTTCGCTTCCGGGTCGCCCTGGTGTTCTGACCTTCCGGCTTTCCCTCTCCACCGAAGCTGACTCCGCTCCCCACACGCCTGGGTAAACTAGGCTTTCCATTATCCTCACCCGCTTGGAGCTGGTGGGAGTGTGTCTTATCCAAACTGCCCCACATTAGCGCCTGGTTCTGTCTTGTATTTGCTCAACAATTTCCCAGCTGTTGTGAACAAAGTACTTAGGTTTTGTTTTGTTTTTTAAAGAACTGAATACGTATTAAAAGCTTTACAAACTTGAAAAATTGTATGTAATCTGTTATAGTGATGGAGATGGTGGTGGTGATGATGATGTAGCACCTAATCTCTGTAGAAGTAAGACAGCTAGGTGGAACCTGAGTTCAAATGCGGCCACAGACCTAACTAGCTGTGTGACCGTGATTAAGTCGTTTAACCTCTGTTACTCTGTTTCCTCAGCTGTAACAGGGTTGTTGTTGAATTTCAAAAGATAATATTTGTAAAAAGTACTTAGCACAGTGCCAAGCACTTTATAGGCATTATATAAATGCTGATTCCCTACATTCCCCCTCATTCTTCATCAGCTGCAAACATTTATTAACTGCCTGTTGGATACATGGTTATGTGCCCTGAGCAAATGGAAAAATACAATAAGGTCCACAGCAGTTGAGCTTAGAATTTAAGATTTGTCACAAAAAAACATTTGATGGAGAAGAAAGAAATCAACTATTCATCGTGACCAAGGGCATATCATTTAACCTTTCTAGACCTCACAGCCCTCACCTGTAAAATGAGGGAGTAGGCCTCTACCTGGATGACCTATAAAATTCTTTCTCTAGCACTAAATCTGTGATCCTATACACTCCATTTACATCCTGCTCCAGTGCCTCATTTTGGTGTGAAAGTGACCCTGGATGCTTTCTTCAAGGCTGTGCCAGCTAAGCATAAGCTCTGGTAACTCTAAACAAGACACTTACAGAAGCAGCCTAAATAAGTTTGGAGAGCTTTGTCTTCCAAAGACTGATCACTAGATGATTGTTGTTTGTTGCCAAAACTAGCTTCTGAAACCATCTGCTGCTAAGCTATAGAGCTTAGCATAGTGCTTTGCACATAGGTAAGTGCTTAATAAAAGCTGGTTGGTTGGTTGACTAGCTAGAGGAATGTAATCTGTCTCTGTGGAGAGAAAAATATTGGTGACACTAATAAAAATTGTAATACATATGTATATAGAGAGAGGGCTATAGATTTATATGTGTGTGGAGAGAGAGAGAGAGACTGACTCATTCTGTAGTATTTAGGTAACTTTTAGAAGTATTTGGAATTCTTTCCCCCTTTTCATTCCCATGCCTCTACTCTCCAGTTTATAAAAACACTTTCTTTAGATTCCTGACATTTGGGTTTAACTTCCCTATTCACTACATCTCTTTAAGTTTCCATCGTTAAAATGTTCCAAGAGGTCTTTCTGTAATTGTAGGTCTTAGTGGATATATATATATATATATAAGATTATGAAGTTAGCTAGTAGTGGATAAAAACCACCTCTGACCCCACTCACTTTTCCTCCCTGTGCTTCAGTTTCATTCCCCTTAAATGGATAATAAGGCTTAAATTGTTAGCTCTTCAGAGTGATCAGATTTGCAAAATGAGAAAAGGGAATCCAAAATAACTTTTGGAACACCTGAGAAAGATACCAAACAAGAAGATAATCTTTCAAAAACAAGGTGTCAGATTCCCGGTGCCTTGGAGGCAGCTTGTGAAAGATTTTCAAAATTGAGTAATGATGACAGTAAACTTGTTGCTACTACCTAGAGAATTAAGAAAATCACCGTCTCTTCCCTAGAAAAACTTAAACTATGTGAAGGGCAGCACAGAATATAAAACATTCAAAATCTAATTCTAAGAAAATTTCCAATTGTGTAGGTTTCCATAGCTTCTAGAAAAAATAAGGTGATTGAGACAATGGTGAATCTGGATCATTTCTTTGGTTTATAGCTCTTATATTTAATTTCTTTTTTTCTATTCTAGCCTAGCTCATTTCTGTTTGTTCAGTCCTTAGTTGGAGAAAGCTCAACCACAAGATGACACACCAGTCAACCAACCAACAATTATTTAAGTGCTTACTTAATAAATACTGTGGTAGGCACTGGGACTACAACTACGAAGAATGAAACAGTCCCTGCTCACAAATAGCTTACAATCTAATTGGGGAAAGTTAAGTGTATGTGTATAAACGCATACACACATTATATATGTATATTATATGTGTAACATATACATGTTTTATCATATGTATATAATATATACACAAGTATATGTGTATATACTTGCATGTATATGAAATACATGTATAGTGTGAATATAATAGCATAAATATGAATACATATATAGTATGAATATGGAATGAATAACTAAAAATATATATGTAGTAGTGACTGTAAGGGAGTTTTGGAGAGAAGGCCTAACAGCTGTGGAGCTCAGAAAGGCTTCATGCAGACATTTCTTAAGGTGCAGTTTAGAAGAAGGGAGGGACTCTCTGAGGCCAAGGTAAGGAGTGAATGAATTCCAGGTGTGTGGCACTGTCAGTGCAAAGTTGATGGGGTGTTCCGTGAGGAACGGAGAGCTGGGGAGTTTGCTTGGATCACAGAGTAAAGGAGTCAGTAATGCCTAGTGAGGCTAGAAAGATGAGGTTGGGGCTAGGTGGGAAAAGCTTTAAGAGCTAAACAGAGTAACTTACATTTGATCCTACAGGCACTAGAAAGCCACTGGAGTAGGTTGAATAGGAAAATCACTTTGGCATAATAACTCTTTTTATTTATGACTATCATTAGAGTGCCTCCATTTATTTGTGACTTAATCAAAACCTTCCATTCCTCAATAACACATTTCCATTCCACTCATTCATTCAGAAACATTGTCTTCCATGTAGAATGTGCTGTACTAAATGGGGGGTGGAGGTGGAATATGATGTATACATAATATACAAATAAGTACAATACGAGGTAGGTAGTAATGGAAGCAAACGAGAGATCCAAAGTGCTCTAGGAATATTTGAGAAGTGAGAAGACACTTAGCTATAGAGACTACAGAAGGCTTCTGGGAACAGATAGCACCTGAGGTGATCCTGAAAGGACATCAAGTCTGGGAAAGGCCTGATAGGAAAGAAGTACATTCCAGGCATGAGGGTTGAGCTGCACAATGCAAAGAAGTGGGGGCCAACATGTTAAGTTTGGAGAAACAGTACTCAAAACTGGAACTTCAAGCACATGATGGGAAGCAATGTGAAATTAGGCTAGAAACCAGAAGGTGGAGATTGTTAAATTTCAGTCTCAAGAGTTTGCATTTTATACTAAAGGCAATAGGTAGATTCTGGAGATTTTTGAGCAGGGGAATAATGTGGATAGATCTGTGCCTAAGGAAAATTATTTTGGCAAGTATGTGGAAGATACTTAGGAGGTTTTCCCTTGAGCTATGATGGAACTCAGATTGTAAAGGGTTAAGAAAGTGGAGGTGGTACAGATAATTTCACATCCACCCACCCCAGACCCCAGTTGAATAAAAAAAGAAGAAACTCATAAATATGCATAGTCAAGCAAGGCAAAATCCAAAAACATTTATTTCAGCCTGCATTTTGAGTCTGTCACTTCTCAGGCAGAAGGTAGGCAGCATGGTTCTTCATTGTCCTCTGAAATTAGGATTCATCATTGCAATGATCAGAATTCTCAAGTCTTCCAAAGTTTTTTTTTTCCTTTATGACATTGCTGTTATTATATAAGTTGTTCTCCTGGTTCTATTCACTTCTCTCTGCATCAGTTCACACAGATCATCCCTGTTTTCTCTGAAACCATGTCATCATTCATATACCAAAATTTGTTTAACCATTCCCCAATAGATGGGCACCCTCCTTGCTACTAGTTTTGCTATTACAAAAAGAGCTCCTCTAAATATTTTTGTGCAGAGAGTCCTTTTCCTCTTGCTTTGTTCTTCAAGGCTTTTTTTTTTTTAGGATAGGTAAGACTTGGGTTTGTAGGTACCTGGGAAGAAGCCAACAGATTGGGAGAGATTGAAGATGAAGGTGAGGGGAAATGTTCAGATTTAGCCCAATGTCACCTCTTATAGATCTTTCACGATCCTCCCACTTACTAGTATCTCCTCCCCTCCCCCCTTGAAAATTATGCTGTACATATTTGTATTTACTTAGGTGTTTCTGTATTATTTTCCCTGACCTTCCCCCCAGAACTTTAGCTTGATGTAATGTAGTTTCTTTTTTAGCTTTGCATCCTCAGTACTAGCACAGTCGAATTTCATATGCTTAATGATAAATACTTGTTGAATGAATAATTAGAAGACCCCACGGATTGAGGGAGTTAGCCTTGGCAAGGAGAAAGGCCACATTATCCTGTAAGATTGGAGCAAAGGAAGAGCAAATGGATAGAAATGTAGAGAGGTTTTGGATGTAGAGGAATGGATAAAAGAGCACACAATGGATGGCCTAGATCTCTTAAATTAAGTAGGAGGTAAAGTCATCTGCCAAAAGTGGAGGTAGAAGTAGAGTTGGAGGCTTGAGAAAAAAAGAGAGTGGTTGGTAACAATGCTGTGGGAAATGTGATGAGGGACCACTGAAGTGTATAGATAACATCATATCTGAGAGTAGTAGTAGTTGCCCAACTTGCCAATTTGAGAAGTTGGGGGCTGTTGCTATTTTTTTCTTCTCCTCCTCCTCCTTTTCAGAAAGCTGGGACAATTTACTTTTTGTCCTATGCAGTTTTCATTTATGATTTCATGAAATATAGTTCTGAAAAAACAGGTTTTTAAAAAGCCCCACTGTGTTTTAAATTGAGCTACCTTTAAACCCAGATCAATCTGGCTTTCATTGAATGGCCAATACTAGCCCCCAACCCAAACCTCTGTGGCTCTTTGTTTAGTTTGTGATGACTTAGAATGAGTATAAATAGCAGTTGTTTTCTGTTCTGTCCAGAAACTCTGAAGGTCTTCCCCTCTCAGAGTGATATCTTTGTGATGCTAAATTGGGCCATCTTTCGTCTCATTTCTTACCTAGCCCTTAAGTAATGGAAAAGTGGTCAAAAGATATGAACAGTTTTCAAGAAACAAATTGCAAACTATTAACAGCCATAAGAAAGAATGCTTCACACCACTAAAAATGCAAATCAGAATAACTCTGAGGCTTCACTTCATACCCACTGGATTGGCAGAAATGACAAAAGATAAGAATAATCAAATGTAGAAGAGTGATGGAAAAAAGAGCACACTAATGCATTCTTATAGGAGTTGTGAATGGTTCCAACCATTCTGGAAAGCAATTTTGAATTATGCAAAAAAATTGATTAGCACAGTGCTTGGCACATAGTAGGTGTTTAATAAATGCATATTGAATTGAATGTCCATATTCTTTGACCCAGAGATTCCATTGCTAAGCATAAACCCCATTCAGTAAATCAACAGTCTTGTTATTAAATGCCTACTATGTACCAGACCTTGTACTGTGATAGGTCAAAGACAAAAGGAAACAAACAAATTAAAAGAAACATTTAAATATGAAAAATCAACAGGTATATGGATGCACCAGAGTATTTATAGTAACACTTTTTGTAGTAACAAAGAATTATAAATAGAGTAAATGTCCATCAATTGAGGAATGTTTAACAAGTTTTGCACATGAATATAATGGAATGTTATTTTGCTGTAAGAAAAAAATGAATATAATGAATACAGAGAAATTTAAGAAGAGTTATACAAACTGATGGAAAATTAAGTAAGCCAACAGAGGAAATCAACATACACAATAAAAACAATATAAATGAAAAGAACAAAAACAAATCAGTTGAAACTAAATCCTGGGAAATTGTTATTATCAAGTTTGGTCCCCAAGATACGAGAAGGCAGTTTGTCTCCTTTGCAGAGGTGGAACAGTATGGCTTTGAAAATACTGCATGTATTTTAAGTCTTTTTTGATGTGCTTTGTAAGACTTTTTTCATATGCTTTGGATATGTTGGTTAGATTTGCTGAACTGTTTTTTTTCCCCCCACCTCTTTTTTATTCCTTGCCTAAGGAAGGGATTACCTCCTGTAAATGGAAGGGAGGGGAGATACACTGGAAAATGAAGATGAAGAAAAAACAAAAGATATCAAAAATTTACTGGAAAAAAAAGAATTTATAGTGGAGTTTTAAAGTTTTAGATTCCCATTTGGGAGGAAATCACTTTACTGATTCATGGTAAAACTTAATATTTCTCAAATTTAAGAGAAAGCAGCCACAATTTAGAAATTACTTATATACACACTTACTTGAAGGTTCAATGTGTTAATGTAAGTTTTACTTTTGAAATTTAGGATGACTCTCCCAAATGAATCACTGGCAAAAAAGATATTTAAAGGAATTTTAGCACTTGAACTTCTTGGAATCACTGGAGCATATTTGCTATTTAATAAAATGAACACAAATCAAGGTAATAATTTTCTTTTACACTCTTGAGGGGTGCTTTTTAGTACTTTGAAACCCTAAATCATATCTATAGTAGATAATTTTTAGACATTTTAAGGGGAGAGAGAATAATTTTGCTGGGAATTTTTCCTCCAACATTGGTTGTCTTTTATGCCCCCAATTAATATGTTAAATACAGATTTACAGCATGAAGGAAAAGATTGCTTTGTTTCTAGACAGAACTTTAAGGTATACATGGCAGTTGCCCAGGAGTACAGATTGGTTGGGTAGTTTCTGAGAACATTTTTGGGAACTGGTAGAGCCTTCTCCAGCTTTACCATGGAACTCTACTGGCCAATACGGCTAGAAAGCAGGAGGTAGCATCGTGGTGCTGCCAAGTACTTACTATAGATAGAATTCATTTTTGTGTCTTTGTGCATCTTAAACTCTAATTACTTGGGTCATAATTATACTAAAAAGGTATTGTGAACAGCACCTAAATGTGAATTGTAGTTTAAACTTTTCGTACAGCGTATAAGTTCAGGTCATATGACACAGAATGGATGCCAGACACGAAATCACTCCATGGATCATATAAAATAAATTCCTGTAAGCTGAGAGAAGGAAAATCAGTTTATCCTTAAATTCCATTTACACATTGTTTTCATCATAAATACCAACCATTATTAAAGTTTTAGGATTACATAGGGATTTTATGAAGACACAGCAGGTGCATCTTGGAACCTATCCAAGAGTTACTGAGTTCCAGAAAGACTTTAAGAAGCCTCCTGCCCAGAAGGCTCCCACAGTGCACTCCCACAACGGCATTGTCTTACCAGTTTGTTAAAGGTGATGAAATTCTAATTAAGCTTTCTTTTTTTCATCAGATTTCAGACATACAATGAGTAAGAGATTTCCCTTAATCTTGGAAGGTATGTTTTTCCTCATAAGTCATATGAGGATGGGTAAGTCGGCAATAAAGAACTGATGCAGGTAATCTGTAATGATTGGTAGATTGAGAGGGAGTTTGGTGCAGGGAAAAGAGCCTAGGCCTTGCCATCAGAAGAAACCTTGAACCCCTGGCACTTTCTAGCTGTGTGTCCATGTACATTTCACTTAACCTTTCTGAATCTCCATTTTCTTATCTGCAAAATGGAGATAATTAACAGTGCTATATAATACCTTTCTAGGTGGTTTTTGTGGAATATATATATATATATAAATATCTAAATATATATGTATATACATATATACACATACACACATACATGTGTGTGTCTTTGTAAACTTCACAGTACTATTGCAATTAGCAGCTTTTATTGTAGACTAAATAATAATTTCCTTGAGATAGCTAACTGGTGTATCTATATAAAATCAGCCCATAGTTTAGGTGACCTACTTTAATTATTATGAGTGGAATAGCAACCATTCCTTCAAAGTTAAGAAACTGAGTAGAATCCCATTGACATATAGAAAACTCTAATTTGGTTGCTCCTGATAGGGCGAAGGGAACTGAATTTTTCCAACAGTACCCAAAAGGGTATTTGTAGGTTGGTAAATTGAGCTATTTACCCATAGTGCTGTGCCATCATTTTACTTTATATTATAATTTGTATAACATCTTTTCCCCTAAGTAATGGGATGTGGCATAGTAGGAAGAGTTACTGAACCTGGAATCAGGAGACCTGAATTCAAGTTCTGCCTCTTACAATGCAGCAATGTGTCGATGAGCAAGTGACCTCATCTTTCAAAGCTTGTTTCCTTCTCTGTAAAAGGAGGGCAATGCTTGACTACCTACCTTATAGAGTTGTTGGAGTAAAGTGCTTTGTAAATCTTAAAGCACTATACAAATGTAATCATCACAATTGTAATTTTATTCCTTGTGATTAAAGTTTTAAAATTATGAAATGTCCAGGTTCTAGACAAAGTAAATTAAACACCTCCCATCAATTTCATCTCCTTTTAGTATGTGGTCTTCTGAGTAATTTAAGTAAATGGTCTGTTCACATTTTCTCCTTATAATAAAGTATGATAATGTTCACTGTAATTCCTTTTTTACATGAATTTACCATTGAAATAGATATTCTTATTTTTAGTTTATTACAAATCCAATGAATGGGCTGGACTCTATGGAATAAGGGAACATGATCAAGAAAAATGGTTAAACCGCAAAAATTAGAAGTAAGTTGAATTTTAAAGAAATGAATTATTGGTTATTTTTTTTAGTCCAATTTTTTTTTGCTTTTTCCCTCTGTTATGTTTTTCAGCCTCTTCAGTTTGACTTTTTCTTCTCTCTGAGTCATGAAACTGATCACCTCATTCAGCCTCCTACGAATTGTTTTTATACTTTTGAAGAAAAAGCCAGCTTAATCGCATCAAATAAAGTCTTTGACTAAAAAACATATATACGTATATGTATATGTGTATATATATTTTTTAAATTCAAGAAGGCCAGATTCTAGTAAGGCAATTAAGGTACTTTAATATTCTGAAACCAGCCGTATGTGGCAGAAAGGAAAAATTTTCAGTGGAAGCTGTCCTGTCCTAACACGTGCTTACTAGCATAAGGATAACATTGAGTAACTTAAAAATATCAGAAATTGTGACCACAATTAGTTTGTATATACATCAGTGTTACAGCATAGCATGTGGTTAATAAAATAAAATCAGGAAAGTTGAAGTATTTTGTTTAATTTAGACAGAAGTAATCACTAAACAGGAGAGCCCAGTATTTTTCTATTATTGCTAACTAAATAACTGGATAATTTTTTAATCAGTCACTTAGATGGCTTAAAACCAGTGTTCTGTAAGTCACTAGGTATTTATTGAAAGTCTGCTGTTTTGCAGCACTATGGGGAAAGCTGGTAGATATTTTTATGGTTTTAGGATTGAAAAGTTACTTTAATGTAATTACAAATTATTACAACTTTGTAAACATGTTGGTTCACTGCAAGAGTACTCCAGAAATTTTTAAAAATATTCAGTGGGAATTCCTTTCAAAGAGATATTAAGAGAATAAAGAAGTTTTAGACTTCATACAGGATGAAGAAAAGGTCTTCTGAATTTGCCAAGGAAGCCATGATTGCAATTTCAGCATAGAAAGAACAGAACTCAGACTTGGGGGGAAGAGGAAAGGGGTTCAAGAATGAGAGTGGCGCAGTGGGTAGAGCACCGGCCCTGCAGTCAGGAGGACCTGAGTTCAAATCAGACCAAACACTTGACACCTACTAACTGTGTGACCCTGGGCAAGTCACTTAATCCCAATTGCCTTTAAAAAAAAAAAGAATGAGAGAGGAGTTGATTTACAATAAATATATGTAATACGTGAAATGTTCTCAACATGAATGAAAATGAGAGACCTAGAGATATTTAAATATAAATATGAATCAAGGGAAGGAATAGAGGAAAACAAATGTCCTTTACTTGGCATTTCAGAAATATAAAGGGCATTTTAAAATGAGATGAGTGGGCAGAAAGAGGCCCATGAAAAATGAGATTGTCCATTACTTCAGAACAAAAATACAATTAACCTTTCCACAGTTATAAGCAGAGTTGTAACTAACACAGGCAAAGTATGATGTGGGGAGGAGGAAGGAGGGTTCACTTTCTTCCCATGGTGACCACTATTCCTTCACTGGATTTCACAGCCCTGTGGTGGCATAGGGTGCAATTGCTCTGGGCAGGTATCCCCAAGGCCCAGGCTCTGTGATGGCCTCCAAAGCTAGGACTCTTGGAGACTGCCCTCCTAGCAGTACCCATGCTGTTCTTTGAGGTCAAAGGAATGCCATGCCTGACATCCCTCTCCTCAGCTGAATTTGCCCCAGGCCTGATTTTGATAGTTGTAGCTCTGGTTATAAATGACAAAGAACAAGGACATGCAGTTATTATTTTCTTACCTTGAAATGAAACAGCATAAGGTCAGTACCTTTTTTTTCGATTGCCTTTCTTAGTACTGACCTTGGAGCTGACTTTCATTTTCTAGTTATAGTAGCTATAGAAATTTTATAAAGTAAATGCATAATTAATACATTTTACCACCAGAAAATGAAATGATCACCTTCATCTACACCATAGGGATATTATGAATATGTGAATGTGCTTTAAATTTTTTTAACAGCATAAACGAATTTAAACCTAATGTACCATATTAAAACATTTAACAATAGTTCTGGGTAGAATTTGGGAGAAGTTAGTTGGCTAAAATAAAAGAGCCTAAACCTCAATTCTACTTTATTTTCTGACTTAATGGAAGAGAGTAGAGCATCATCTGAATTGACAGAAGGGCTAATGAGTACATGTGACATATTAGAAGGAATAGGAGCTTTTTACATGGTTTACAAGCTCATAGCATCCTAGCAGGATACCATATAAAAAATCCACAAAAGATGAACCGAGTTGGGGCTAAAGATTGGAAAGTCTAGTGATACTAGAGTTTAGAATAGGCTGACTAAAAAGCATATGGAGAGGCTAATTGGATAAAAGCCCTATAAACTTTGGTAACATTAAAGCTTATAGGCCCTTATGTCCCAAGTCAGTCTTTGTTATCCATTGACACCACCTTCTCTGCAATACTTTTACTTTCTTCAAGCACATCCATGGATAGACCACTATCTTATCAGCTTCATTAAACATGATTCTCAAAGAGATAGCATCATCTAAAAATCATTGAAGTCATCTTCCTTTTCACTACCTTCTATATCCAACCCTCATCCCTTTGAGGATTCTTAATCCTTTTTATTTCCTTTTTTACCTTGATGAAAACAAAGCAAAAATACCCTAAACCTTTTTTTTTAACCAGTAGGAAAAACCAAAGCATCAGTGGCTAGAGAACTAAAGAAAAATACATTTTAGCAAAGTCAAGGTCATCCTGGTCAGTAGTGTTAAAATGTCTGTTAAGAAAAGAGAGACCAGGAGCAGCTAGGTGGTGCAGTGGATAGAGCACCGGCCCTGAAGTCAGGAGGACCTGAGTTCAAATGTGACCTCGGACCAAACACTTGACACTTACTAGCTGTGTGACCCTGGGCAAGTCACTTAACCCCAATTGCCTAAAAAAAAGACAGAACAAACAAAAGTAAGGTTATGGCAAAGAATAAAAAGATTTGAACATGTTTTATGATCATTTGTAGTGAAGGTTTTTAAAGTACTTGAAATTGGTGACAGAAGTCTGTAGTAAGTATAAAAGAAATGGGTTGTTGAGTTATGTGTACTTATACACATACAGTACTCAGTTTTATTGTCAACTAATACAAGTTTTACAGGGTATCAGGATATGTTAGTCCTTTGTTCTACTCCAGAGTTTATTGTTACAGACAACTAAAAAACAAAAATAAAAGCACATAGCCAAAATCAATTCAAATGCCTTAATTAGAAGTTCTTAACTTAGGGCCATGGATAGATTTCACTGGGGTTTGTGAACATGGATGGAGAAAAAAAGTAAATCTTTATTTTAATATATTTGATTTCCTTTAATCCTATGTATTTTATTTTATGCATTAGGAAGCATTATTCTGAGAAGGGGTCCTAAGCTTCACCAGACTGCCAAAGGGGTCCACGACACAAACAAGGTTAAGAGCCTCTGGCCTAAAGCATCAACTACATAAGTGAGCATTTTCTCCACCCTTTATAAATGTTCTTTAAAAATTTCCCATTGCTTTGGGTTACAAGGATAATGAATTAAAATGTCAAAGTTTATTGGCACCTGTATTCAAAGTGGACTATAAATGGCTATAAATACTTCAGTTTTAATCAAGAACTGAGAATTTTCATGAGATAATATTCAGTTTGGTGGCATCAAATTTGAATTTGTTTTTTCCTCCACCCTTTCCCATTATACCAAGACAAATCAAAAGCTTGTCATAGTTCTGGGTGGCTCTTTTTCTGGAACATAGGAGATTGTTTGATATTTAAGATCTTTCCCAAACTATTGATTTTTACTGATTTAGTGACTTTAGGGCCATATCATTTTTCACCTGGCTTCATTAGCTTGGAACTCCTCTCTACACCGTGGTCCCAGAAAATTCATTATTGAGATAACTTTATCATCCTGTAAGATCTCATCAGCCTTGGGACCCTACCTCATCCCTACCCTCTGCCCCTGGGATTGAAAGATAGGACTATGAACTCCAAACCTCCATTTAAGAGGAGAGCTCAGCTCAGACACCTTATTTCTCACTGAGCCGCACTAGCTTGGGACTTGTCTGACTGCCTTCACCCTGCCCCTGGGTTACATATTTTCTCCTCCTCCTTCCCACCCCTCAACTTTTCAGCTTCTTTTTGTATTTTGTCTTCCCCCATTAGATTGTAAGCTCCTGGAGGGAAAGGACTGTCTTTTTTTTCGTATTTGTATCCCCACACTTAGCACAGTGTCTCTGGCACAGAGTAGATGCTCAGTAAATGTTTAATTGATTCAAACATATGACATTAATTTAGAGAGGTTTCCTTTGCTTAGATGGAGAATATTCCAAAACTCATAAAATTTTCTTTTTGACTAATATACAATACAGTTCAACAAACATTGATTAAATACGTGCTATGTGAAAAATCCATGCTAGGTATGTAAAAATGCATGACACACTGAGAGGCCCAACTCTCAAAGAGGCTCCATGGTCATGCAGTGAAAAGAACACTGGGTCTAGAATTAGAGGATCTGCTCAGTTATTTACTGTGTGACCTCAGGAAAGTTACTTCCTCCCTCTGAGACATGGCCCAGGCAACAAAAAAGAAGAAATTTGAAGGAGAGATCACTTGAGAAATGGTGGAAAGTGAGGAGTGGGGGAGAAAGTTGAGCCTGGAAGGAGGAGGAGCTATTGATAGATGGATAAGGGGGGGAATCCATTCCAGGAATGGATAGGAGAGGTTAGGGTGAGACTGTGAACGAACAATAGTTCAGTTTGGTGGGAACAAAGATTAAGTGAAAAAAAAAAAAAACAAAAAGGCCATAAATTTAGGTTGGGACCAAATCATGCTTTATTTGATGGGTCATGGGGAGAAATGACATGATCATAATAGGACATCAGAAATATTAAGTGGTCAACATTGTAAAGGATGATTGGAGAGAATATAGCCCAAGAACCCAAAAGACCAGTTAAGAGATTATATTACTGTTTAGGCAAAAATCAATAAACGAGCATTTATTAAATTCTTACTCTGTGTTAGCCACTGTGTCAAGAAAAAGCAAAAATAGTCCCTGTATTCAAGAAGCTCACAACCTAATTGTAGACTGATTCAATAGGACAATTAATTTGCAGACTAACCCTGTATTAATACCGTGATTCTTTTTAACCAAACTCATCATTTCATTGGCAGAGGGAACTCACAGTAAGGAAATACCTTCTACTGATAGAAGTATTATCTGAAACTTACAGTTGCTTGGAAAACTGAGGGATTAAGTGACTTAGCTAGCTGTGTTCACACAGCCAGTATGAGTCAGGGGCAGAACTTGAATCCAGCACTTCATGACTCCAAGCCAGCTTCCTATCCACAATATTAGTCTGCCTCTCATTATCAGGATATTTACATTTAATTAGCCTCCCATTAAGTTTTTCAAAATTTAACAGCTTTTCTAAATCATTTAATTTCTTTTTGGATGATTAAAATATTTTTAAAACTATATTTTGATTTTTTTAAATATTTCCCACTCATATGTAGAAATAATTTTTAACATTCTTTTTTTATAATTTTGAGTTACAAATTCTCTCTCCCTTCTGCCCCTCCCCCACTCCTTGAAAAGGCAAGCAACATGGTATCGATTATATAAATCATTAAATTTCTAAACCAAAAATTTCAAAAGTGAAATAACACTGAGAAATATATCATTTATGAAGAAAAAACCAATTTCCACTGATATTTGGCTTCTATGAGGAATTCCTTAATATTTACTATAAAATGAAAAAAGTTTTATCTTCTAGTTCGTTAAAGGAAAATCATCTTTTTCCTACATTGATAACACTTTTAAAGAAGTTGTAATACATACCTATAATTCAGAACTCCCAAAGGCAACATTAAATACTTATCCAAATGACTATTACATAGAATCTGAAGGTGGTGGATAGATGGGAGACCAGGGAAGGTAGGGGTGACTTTCTGGAGCTAGAAGAGAGAGGGACAACCCTCAGAGCCAGTACAGCATAGACAGGCCATGGAACACCCTCTTTTTAGTGCCATATTTAAAGTTATGCATTACACAGCAATAAGTCTCAAGTGGTAATAAATATTAACATGATTCTCTTCCTTTGAGTTCAGTAGAATCGGAGGGCAAAGACTGTTTCATTTTTGTCTGTGTATCCTTAGCACCTAGCACAGTGCCTGGCACGTAACAGGCACTTAATAAAATGCTTATTGCATTTAATTAAGACAACCCATGAATCTGTTTTCAAAAGAAAGACTATAAATTTGAAGGCATTTTCGTTGCAAATAATTTTCTCTAACTTTGATCTCTCCCCACTCCAGCCCCCCATCTGAGGTAACAACTACTACAATAACAGTTACGGTGTCTGAGGTTTGGACTGTATGTACATCTATTATCACAGTTGAGCCTACCTTGTGAAATAAGTGATACCCTATTTTTGCAGATGAAGAGACTGAGGCTCAGAGTTAAGTGATTTGTCCAGGATAAAACCACTAATAAGTATCTGAGGTGAAATTTCATAAGCCCAACGCTCCCTGAAGATTCCAAGTCCATTCTTTGTCCTACCCACTATACCGTACGTAAGTTTGCCAGTTTTAATTAATTTTGCAATCAGAAGGATAGTGTGTGCTAGTGTTAAATATAAAATTTGAATTCACAGTAGTTCTACTTCATTGAGGAAATCACCAAAGACTAACCAGAAGAGAAACTAGATGTTACAAATGACTAAAAGAATACTTCACCTCTGAATTTAGGGCACAGTCAAATTTTTCCCTTAACAAAGGCCCAGACAAAAAGGCATTAAGGTTTTTATGTAAAGAAACAGGGGCAGCTAGGTGGCGCAGTGGATAGAGCTCCAGCCTTGGAGTCAGGAGGACCTGAGTTCAAATCTGGTCTCAGACACTTGATACCCTCTAGCTGTGTGACCCGGGGCAAGTCACTTAACCCCAACTGCCTTACCAAAAAGCAAAAAACCAAACAAACAAACAAAAACAGGACCAGTTTTACAAGAGTAATGTTAAAGAAAAAGAAAAAATACGTATCATAATCAAAACAGTCCATGAGATACACTAGAGAGCAGGCTGGGTAACTAAAAAATCAAGGAATTTGAAGTGACCAGAAACAGAATGAGAATATGAATTCATTTAAATTCAAACTTAAAAATAATTTTTAAAAATATCAACATAAAATGGCAACTTACTCTTCTTCTAGAGGGGCCAGGAATTATCTAGGATAGAATTAGAAAGCTTTGTCTAGACAGAAGCAAAGAAAGGTTGGGTAGCAGATCTGGGATTATATATCCATAATACTTCAATGATTAGAAAGTTCATGGTTAAACCATTCTTTCCTAATTATAGGGATAATGCCTGTGGCTCTTGGGTTTTAAATTAAAAAAAAAAAGGCCCCAACTGCCAAAAAAAAAGTCTATGCTACTGTTTGGTACTTTAGGTTTCAATTGTCCAAGTTTCATACTTGCCAGCAAGATTATGTACATCATTCATAAACTGTCTGCCTTTCCCCTTTGGCTGCATTACACCACCATCTGTGTTCTTTGAAATGGAAGAATAAGTCATTGTAACATAAATACTTAATCGTATGTTCATATTAACAAAGTATTAGTCATGAAAATCAAACCACTTATTTTTGAAGCCTTACCTTTTTCTTATGTTGCTTTGGATTCTACTATGAAAACTGATCCAAAAATCTCTGCAAAACTCTGTAACTAGTCCTCTGAATACTAAATATAATCCCCATGGAACATGGAAAAAAAACAGAGCACTCAAAAGTACTTAAGAATTGAATTCAAATGGCAAATTTCTGCCTATGCAAAATTCTAAAAGAAATCCCAAATCAGAGTGGGTTACATGAAAGCCAGGACTCTGGACTGAATGATACCAGCTTCCCTCTCAGAACTATGATTCTATATCTGCAAATGAGATGGAGAATATATTAGAAATAAAATCTACTAAATGATTATTTCATGAGACATTGTGACAGGTCTTGGTATCAGCAGACCCATAACTAGGGCTGAGAGATTATGTCTTTGACTTAAGTGTCAAATTAGAGGACTGACTGAATTTGGAGTCCAGTAACATAGAAACAACTGAGCTTAGCATCTAGTTTCCAAGAAAAATGAGTTAAAATAGACACTGTTATACTTTCTCCTTTCTGGACTCCCCAGTGAAGTTTGCCCTTCTCCCTTTCTAGTAATGGACTAACGTGCCTCATGACCTCCAAGACCAAGTAAAAATATGTATGAAAAAGTTGAGTGCGTATTTTATGCCTCTTGTTCCAGGCACAAAATTATTAGTTATAGCTCTGGCCACTGGTTACATTAGTCTTTATTTTACAAATTTAAAAAAAGTCTACTTATCAAATGAAAGGTTGGGTCTATCCGTGGCACTAAGTGGATCCTTTTTAATTTAGGCTGATTGCTTCAGTGCAGTGTGAATATAAAGTAATTCTTTCAAAAACCAGCTTTATTACTTTACAGATATTTTTTCATGTTTAACCACTCAAAAAAATAGCAAGAATTTTCAGTATTTGTACACTAGATCTTATCTGTGGTTTCAGCAGCATAAAGACATCCTATTGATAATGTGAACTGATCAATTGCAAGGCCAAGGCTAATTCTGGAATCATGTTCAAATCCAAGTATAGCAGTATATTACATAACATCCACATGTCTGTCTAGATCTACAAATTTATATACCATATATACCCTCCAATTTGTACATAGCTGTGTGTGTGTGCGCGCCATGTGTGTGTATATGAAATGAATGTATTGGCACTGGCAGTAATGAATACTTTTTGATAATTCACCCACTTCTTAAATTTCTTAAAATATTTTCATGTCTTAATTGTGTTCTCCCTAAAATTAGACAAAAGCTCAACTTCTCAAAAAACTATCTTGAAAACCAAAGAAAGGTATGACATCACAATTTGTATTACAAATTTTTAATCACTGAGAACAACCAATTTCCATGTATAGATGAGATCTGCAGTTACTTATCTCGAGCCAAAGATTCCCAGGCCTCTCCATGCTTTAACTTATTCCACTACCTTTTTTAAAAGTATTTTTTTCAGCCACAACAATTCATGAAGTGTGGAAGGTGGCTGAGGTCTTGCGAATGGAACGCTGACACTTTCAGATACTGAAGTGAAGTATTAATATTTTTACGATGCTGTGAAGGGAAGGCTGATAGTAACATCCTTCCTTCACCCCTCCCAATGCCTCCAGGTTAGTAGGTATACTTATAGGAGTCAGTAAACAAATAGTCATTATTAAAATGTTGATGTTTTGTTGATGGCAAGAAGGTTCCGTCCTGTAGTCTTGCAAGTAGAGTCTTATACTATCAGTTTCCAAATTCTATGCAGTTCATAAAAGGGTTCACTGTTTAAGAACTATTGAGTTCAAACATGGTGACATTCTTCCAGCTACTAGCTAAATATCCAGATGTTCATTCATCAGCCAAGATGTATCCAGTAAAAGCAGAACTCAGTTCTCTGACTCTTCTGAAATATTAGAAAATTTCTGTCGCTTAGCTTCTCCAAATTCCCTGCTTTTGGACCTCCTTTCTCCATACTGGAAGACAGACAAACAGTGGGGAGGATAGATTTGTATGTGGGGAAAAAAAGGCAGCGAATTATGTCACTAGATTTCACTAAAGCTCAGGTTGGGTTTAACACATTTAAGAAGGGAGAAATTTTTTAAAGAACTTATTTGTTCCATTATTTCCAATTTTTTACTTGCAAAGAATCTACAGGTTAAGAGACATTTTGGACATCATTTACTTTAATGTCCTACAAGAATCACAAATCCCTTTTATTACAGTATCCATGACAAAGATGATCATTTAGTCTGAGCTTGAATATTTGTAGTTGTTCATTGTTAGAAAGCTCCTCTCTACACTAAGCTTAAATCCATCTCCTTGTTATTTACTCCCATTGCTCTTACACACGTCTTTTGGGGATATACAGGAAAACATTCTGTATGATGGCTATCATCTGTTCCACTAATGTCTTATCTTCCCCAGTTCCTTTCATGGATCCTCCTATAACAGTCTCTAGCCCTTTTACCAACCTTTACATTCTGATTCCAAGTGATGGTGGTTAGTTACTTTTATCCCCATTTCAGATCAGCACTTTTATCTGGCTATTAATGCATTTTTTATTTTAAAGATTCTTAGGTCATTCTCTCCTTTACTATGGAATTAGAGAATGAGAGAGCCATCTGAAACATACATAGCCTTATGTGCAACTCAAAAGGTCATGTACCTTCTGCACCTGATCAGAAATGAGGGGCCCATGGTCATGCAGTCTTCCTGATTTTGATTTCCCCGGGGGAAAAGGGAAGTTCTTTGGTAGCTCCTTTTCTACCTTCCAGTCCACTAAGGTGGTCTTACCTCCTTTTTCAGGCATTTCCGCATCTCACGATCTATATCATTACAGCGACCAAAAAATTTCAGGATGCTGTGCTATAAGGCAAAAAACACAAGATATTTTATTCAATAAAATGGAAAAGTCTCTACTGTACATATATACATTTAGCTAATTCTTATAGCATTATTATATAATTTTCCATTCATGTGTCAACTTTATTTAAAAAAACCAAACCAAACCAATGTGTGAATTCATTAGTATAAAGAAATCCTGATGAGGAAACTTCGATCAAGGTTTTCCTAACTCTGCAGCAAGCTCTCTGACACCAAGACTGCCTCTGATTAATTTGATGATAGTTAATTAAAATGTCTAAATTCTTAAATAGATCTACCTGGGTCCATCTTACCAAAAAACAAAAGGTTTTTTTTGGGGGGGAAATGTATTAACTCCCACTTGTTAAGATTACTTTCATTAACTTATTAAAATCCTATCAAAGAGACAAGTTCTAGCTCAGGCTGGGCTTCATCCTCAACACATTCAGGGCCTCCTGCATACTCTAGGTCTAGCGTTTCTGGAAAATATGGTAACACAATCATTTGGGTCAAACTTGACCAAAGATATTTTTTAAAGTACTTCTTCAGGATAACTTTCAATGACTATCAAAATACTTTGTAATATAAAAACATAAAGAGAAAATACTAAAGTCTTTATTTTTGTTTGAATTGTGAATTCCAAACACAAATATGTTTTATAAATGATTTGGGATTGTCCATACTATATTATCTTCCCCATTAGTAGAGATAGCTATGACTATTGTAGTTGGTTAATAGGAACATCTAATATAATTCAGTAATAATACCCAAGACTAATTTCTTTTCAAAGAAATTACATTTGTTGAATTCTTACCTTTTTGTGGCATTCTTTTAATAGGTTAATTAAAATGTTACATTCCTCAGTATGCAGGTGTGGAGATAAGTCTGGATGCATCTCTGGTGGATAGTGGACCAACACAGAAATTTTCCACCTGTTATCAGAGCAAAACCTTGAATATGTATATATTGCAAAGGTTAATACACTTGCTTTGTGGCACTGCTTCCAGTTAGCAGCATATGTTAACTCTATCAGAACAGAAACAGAAATACTTAAATTCCTTAAGTATCAAGTAACCACCTGAATCAGAAAATTCATTCTTAACATCTTTTATTCATTTAGCTTAGTTCTGAGTGCCTTAGAACAGGCTCTGTTCTTACAATGATTCCTTCTGCCTATCAAATGTGCTTTCACAGAATTTAAGGACAAGGTTTTAAGGCAAAATACTTAAACAATACTGATAACTTTCAGAACTACAAGAAGATAAGAATTTCTTTCAAGAAACTTGATTTACTTAATAAGCTATTTCAGTATTTAGTATTTAAAGAAATTCACATCTTCCTCCTTATCCTAGGAAGCTGTGGTAAATCTTTGTAATAAACAATCAGGCTCTTCCCTCCTCTCCTACACCTGTATCCCAATGATTGTCTGGAAGTTTTGAGGATGCCATCTGATTGATAAGAAACATCACTGTATCAACAGATATCAAATTATTATTAAGGTGATGCTACTGTTGATTTAGAAATGACAATGAAAATTATTTAATAAAGAATTATGATTTTATTTTTTTACTGCTGAATTGTGACATAAAAAACCTTTATGGGAATGTGATTATTTTAAATATGCTTTAGCCATTTAATCAAATCAGTTATTTTCTTTATAAAAATTATAAAATAGAAGCAATCAATGTACATATATGTGTAAAATATTTAGAGAGAAACAATATACACGTAAAAATGTGAGCCAGGGAAATGGTGCTAAATAAAGATATACAAATAAGAAACAAAAATGAAGACACTACAAGTCTCAAAAAAAAAACAATGATCAGTATAAATACTGGGGCAAAGATAAGAAATAAACAGTATTTGTGTGTTAATGCTCAGGTGACAAGTTTGGGATACAAGAAGTTAGGAAACAGAATTCTAAAAGTCTAGGCAGCTAGATGATGCCTTTCTGAATTTGAGGACCATTTACTAGCAATGTGACCTTAGGCAAATCACTTAACCGCTCTCAGCAACAGGTTCCCCATTTGCAAAATAAGAATACTAATAGCACTTATCTCACAGAGTTATTTGTGTATGTGTGGGGGGGGGAAGTCCAAATGAAATAATATGTAAAGCACTTTATATACCTTAAAGTGCTACATAAATGCTATCTATTATTATTATTGTTAATATAAAAGACTTGTCTTTGGGATAGTGATTTCCTTTTATAACCATAGGGTCTTTAAATGAAGCAGGGGGCAAACTATGGCCTGCCATCTGTTTTTGTACAACTCAAAAGCTAAGATTTTTGCATTTTAAAATAAAGATTTATTGCATTTAAAATTGTTAAAAACCATTCTTAGTTCACCATGGTAGGCTTTATTTGACCCTTAGGCAGTTGTGAAAATATGGTCACAGACTGTACCTGACTTATAAACCACACATATAGCTGTTCCTCCCCTACACAGTCATCTATGAGAACACCCATGCTACTTCCACAAGAACCACAGTAACATAGAAACTATGTTAAAACAGAGAAAAAGAAGAAGCTATGAAAAGCAAGAAATAGCTTAGGGAAGCTGACCTTTGGGAGAACAATTCCAGACAGGCCAATTTAGTGGTACCTATTTTTCAAAAATATTTACCCTTTTTTATCCTCCCTACTGCCTATCCAGAATTAAGACTACTACTATTACTTAAAACAGTTCAGCTACAACATGGGTAAAATTAAATTGTAAGGTCCTTGAAGGCAAGGACAATGTTGTAACTTTGCATTTCAAGTGCTTAGTATGATGACTTGCATATAGTTATAAAAATTCAATTTGATACTTTTTATTAAGTGTCTACCATGTGCAAAGCACTATACTAGAAATTGAGTACAGATTCTTAAAAACAGTCCCTGAACTTGAAAGGCTTATGTTATACTGGTGGGAAAGGGGTGGGGTGGGTGTGTATACAATAGGTGTGCAAGTATGTGAGTAAACAGAGCAATCAACACAAAATTAATTTCAAGGTTTAGAAGGTGCAGTTACCTGGAGCAGAGAAAGAATTGGGAAAGCCTTGTGATAGAATTACATGCAAAATGAACCATCTCATTCTATTCCCTTCTCTCCCATTACTTTCAGGAACTTGTCCTATTCATTCTCTGATTCTTTATCACCTCCAGTTTCCCCTGGCAGCATGATACAGTGGAAAGCACACTAGACTTGAGTCAGGAAGACTTGGGTTTGAATATTGTCTCACTATCTATGTGGCTTTGGGTGGGTCACAACCCCTCTGAAAGCTCCAGTATCAGCATTTGTGAAGATATACACATTTGTACTTTTCAGTACTGCTCCAAGGACCAAATGAGGTAATACATGCAAAGCACTCTGCAAACCCTTAAATGTAGGAATATGTTTAAATCTCTCCCATCCTTAAGAAACCTTTACTTTATACTGCCATGTTCTCAAACTATGATATTTCTCTTCCCTCTAAACAACTAAATTTCTAGAAAGAGTAACTACATTCTTTCTCTCCTGGCAACTTTCTCCCTTGACTTCCATGATATCTTTCTCTCCTGATCCATCATCCATGTCCTATCTCCTAATCATGGGTGTCCTGGAAGGCTCTGTCCTGCACCCTCTTCTCTCTCTCTTTTTAAAATTTCATCAGCTTTCATAGTAACAGACAGATGACTTCCTAATCTACATACCCACTCCTTATATCTTTTTTAAACTTCAGTTCCAGATCACAAACTGCCTGCTAGACATCTGTATATACATGTCCCATCAACATCTCAAACTAAACATCTCCAAAATGGAACTTAATACATCTGAGAAATGATAGGCTTTAGAGAAATCTGGAAAGACTTCTATGAACTGATACAGAGTGAACATAAACTAAGAGTACAATTTATTCAGTGAGAACCTTAGGGGAAAAAAAACAACTCTGAAAGACTTAAGAACTCTGATTAATGCAATGACAAACTATGATTGCAGAAGACCAAATAATGGAGCATGCTACCAACCTCCTGCTAGAGAGGTGATTTGTAAAACTGAGGAATAAGACATACCTTTTTTACTGTTCAACAGATAAGCAGGAGAAAGAGGAAATAAATGCTTCTTAATTGGAAGAAACACTAGAATTAAAAACAAAAATTAACAGAACTCATTTTTCTCCCTAAATCTACCCCTCAATCTGACTTTCATACTTTTGTTGGGCACATCGTTTTCATGACTTATAAGCCTATTACTACATATAGCCTTCCTTTATTGCCCTCTCCTTTACCCTCTAACCAGCTACCAAATCATGTAAATTCTTAACCTGGGGTCAATGAATTAAAAAAAAATAACCATTTCAATGATCATTGGTTTCCTTTGTAATCCTATGTATTTATTGGTGTCTATGACACACACACACACACACACACACACACACACAAACAGTGAAGAAGAACCCCTGCACTATAGTATTTCTCACACCTTTCCACCTTCTATTCATTTACATCACCACCATGCTAGTTCAGGTCGTCATCTTCTTTCCCTCAGAATTAACTTAATTAGCCTCTATCTTCCATACAGCCAAAATAATCTGAAAGTACAACTCTGACCATATTACTTCCCTGCTCAAAAAATATCTAATGTTCTAAACTGCCTCTAGGATAAGATACAAACTTCAGACTGGCATTTGAGGCCCTCAATTACATGTCTCTTCCAGCTCTAGCTACAAATCCATCATCCTATGATGCTAAATTGGCTTCATTTCAGCTTTATGTCACCTGACCCCTTTTTCATACACATTCTACCTCCCAACAAAATGGACTACTAGTAGCTGTTCCCAAAACCCAACATCTCATTTACAAGCTCAATTCGTTTCCAAACTCTATGCTTTAGCTTGAAATGCACACCATTCTCATTTTTGCCTTCATTCCTACCAATTCTTTGTAACCCAGTTCCAATGCCACATCCCTTAAGAAGTCTTCCCGAACATTATAACCAATAACCTTCCACCTTTAATATCAAAGGGTGCTGTTGTGCATTTCTTCAATTATCTGTAGTTATTTTGTCTCCTCTACCAGATTGTGAAGTCTATGACAAGAGAGACAAAGTCTAACTAAACCTGGTAAACCTAAATCCAAACTCTAAACCTAACCCAACACTCTTAGCATAGGACAGTGTTTTGCACTTAACTGTCTGAACTGAAAAACTAGTTAAATATCTAACAGCCAGGGGCAGCTAAGTGGCGCAGCGGATGGAGGACCGGCCATGAAGTCAGGAGGACCTGAGTTCAAATCTGGCCACAGACCAAACACTTGACACTTACTAGCTGTGTGACCCTGGGCAAGTCCCTTAACCCCAATTGCCTTTAAAAAAAAAAAAGAAAAAGCAAATATCTCACAGCCCCCAAAAGTCAACGATGAGAAGGCCCCCACATACACCAAGATATTTACAGTAGAATTTTTTTGTGAATGCAAATAACTAGAAACAAAGCAGATGCCCACTGACCGGGATGTGGCTAAGCAAACTATAGTAATGAATGTAATGGGAATATTACTGTGCTATAAGCACAAGGTACTATATACAAACAGTTCTTACTTTACCTAAATTTGCATTAGCAAATTCGACTTAAAGAATTCTGAAAGAAATCTACATTCCAAAAATATACCTGTGTTAACTTTACTGTACAGTACTCTGCTCTCCCCTTCTCCCCCCCCATCCCTCAGCTCTTCCCGAATCCCCTTAACCAAAAGAAAAAAAAAACCCACAAACCAAAGACCGTCCAAATGGAAACAACACCAGAGGGGTCAGGGCTACCTAGGTTTGAGACATCAGGCACCAAAAGAAGAGACCTTTTGCCCAGGTAAGTATACCCCACAGTTTCTGTCCTCATCGAAAGTATCCTCAGTCCTCTCCTCTCTGTGTCCACGTCCAATCCTGTCCTTCCCCTCCCCCCAGGCAAATTCCTATTATAGAGAGCTTTAAGCAGAGGTCTGAAGAATTTACTTACCTTAAAGCTAAAACTGATGAATACACACGTAACCATGGAAAAACATGAACTTATGTGAAATTAAATAAACTGAACTAAGAAAACAATATACATAAAGCCTGCAAAAATGTAAATGCAAAGAACAAAAAAAACCAGTTGGAATTGGTTGGATTCTGTGAAATAATACTACTAAGCTTGGCCTCAAAGAAGATAGCCATTCCAGAGTTTTTTGCATAAGCAGAGGATCATATAATTCACATTTTTCCAACAGTTGGTTAGCTTTGCTGAACTTTCTTATTTAATTTTCTCATGCAGGAATTCTTAACCTGAGGTCCCTGAACTTATTTTTAAGAAGATAAATGTATTTCAGTATAATTGGTTTTCTGCTTCGTTTTATCTCATGCATTTAAAAACAGCCTTTCTGGGAAGGGTTCCACTGGCTTCAACAGACAGACAAGGGGGTGGGATAGGGTGGGTAAAGGAAATAAAAAATTAAGAATCCTTTATCATAAGGGATGCTCCCTGTGAGAGGGGACAGAGGAGGAAAGTTAGGTGATTAAAAAAAACCCCAAAATATCAATAAAAATATTTTTTTTTGGTTTGGTTTTTTTTTTTGGCTAGGCAATGGGGTTAAGTGACTTGCCCAGGGTCACACAGCTGGTAAGTGTTATGTGTCTGAGGCTGCATTTGAACTCAGGTCCTCCTGAATCCAGGGCCAGTGCTCTATCCACTGCGCCACCTAGCTGCCCCTAAAAATGTTTTTTTTTAAAAGCCTGTATTTATATATTTAGAATTAGTTAACTCAAATACTTAAAATAAGAGGCACCTAAGCTCTGTGTATAGAGCGATGGGCCTGGATCAGGAAAACCAGACTTAAAACACTGAAGAGTTGTATGACCTAGGGCAACTCATTTAACCTCGAGGTCTGCCTCAGTTTCCCGAACTGGGGTTAATAATAAATAATAAAATGGGGTTATTAATAGCACCTACTTTCCACGGCTAATGCGAGGATATGTATGCAAGGCATGACACACAGTAAGCGCTTAGTGTTTATTCTCTTCCCCTTTCCTAATGAGTGTACATGGGCGTGCCTCTTATTTATGCAGTTTCTGAGAGCCTGAGTTCAAATGAAGCCTGGCAGGTTCTGCCCCTCAGCTCTGTGACCTTGGGCAAGTCTAATACCTTCTCTGTGCCTCAGTCTCCCCAGGAGACTGAGGGAGGGGGTGGAGAGCGTCTAAGGTCCCTGGCTAATTTAAATCGAATACTAACGGGAGCCTGAAACCATTCGCCGAGCAAGTCCAGGACCGAGTCTCACCTCAGGAGATGCCCCAAAGGTCGCCCAGGGAGGAAGCCCCAACCGCCAGACCCCGAAAGACCGCTCTGTCTTAGCCGCCGCCGCCGCCGCCGCCGCCGCTCGGCTCTGGGTGCGAGGCCGCGGTCACCCGCCTGAGGTTCTACACACCTACCCCAAGTGGCGACCTCGGCTTCTCGAGGTCAGAGAGCAGCGAGGAAAGGGGGCGAGGAAAACAGCTCGTAGGTGACGCAGAAAGGCACCAGCCAATTGCAGACCTTCTAGTCCGCGAGCACTGAACTCCTGCCAGCGAGTCCTCCTCCAGGAAAAGCCTGACGCCCTCACGTAGGTCTCGTACTGGACCTGGGCGGCTTTACTAGAGGCGCTGGGGAAAGTGTTGCGGCTCCCCAAGGTTCAGAAGTTCCTGTTTCTCCATAATTCATGAAGCCAAAAAACTATAAATCTATCCAGGAAAAGAAACTACCTATATGTAGGTTTTAAAGGGCCGTCTCGCTAAGTAGAAAGGAGCCGAGACTCCGGTAGTTTCTTCCACTCCCCCCAATCACAGGATGTATGGTACTTCCCAACTCTGGGTTGCTGGTCGTTGGGGGCGGGCCTTTGCAGACAACGTAAGCTCCAATTGGTGGAGTTTGAAAGCAAGTAGGACGGACCCTGGATTGGCGCGATCCGTGAACTTTATGTCGGCCTGGGAAGCGGGAGCTGCTTTAGCTGGGTAAGGTGTAGGGGGCTGGCGCTGGACACATTGCGCGGAATATCTGCTGTTGGTCATCAGCCGCGGTCGCAGAAGCATGTTGATCTGCGGTGGGAAGTATGGGGCATTCGAGGTATCCGGGGACTTCTGCCTGCCTCTCACGGAGCTGTCCCTTCAGAAATGCCCTGGCTGGGCCTGGGGCAGATTTCTGGGCTGGCGAGGCTTAGATCTCGCTGTTCTGCTATCGTCATGGCAACCAGACACTGCCGTCTCTCTTCCTCTCCCTCACCATTCCTGACTCCTCCCCCTTGCTGCCCATCTCGCCAGGAGAGGCCAAGTGAAGCTGCAGTGGCTGCTCTTCCCCCTCCCCCAGGAAATTAAGGTTTCTGGGGTCCTAGGATTATAGATCAAGAGCTGGAAGGCACCTCTGATGCCATTTAGCCCAACCTTCTCGTAATACAGATTAGGTAACTGAGATCCAGGAAGGTTTGGTGATTTGCACTAAGTCCAGCAGGTAGTAAGTGGTAGAAATGGAATTTGAACGTAGATCCTTTGATTTTAGAGTCAGTGCTCTTTGCACTCCAAAATCCTGCTTATCCTTTGCCTCCCCTATGGCTCTTGCTACTTTACGGTTTTGGTTTTCCTCAGAAACAGGGCAAGGCACAGTGTTAAGCTCTGGGGAAGTAAAATTGATACCCTCTTGATCCAAGAACACTTAGATGAAGATGGGAATATGATACAAAGAAGCATAATAATAATAGCTAACATTTATATTGCGCTTTAAAGTTTGCAAAGTGTTCTTGCATATATTTTATTCTTATCAATTGAAGTAAGCTAGGTAGTGCAGCAGTTGGAGTTTGGGGTTTGGAGTCAGGAAGACCTGAGTTCAAATTCAGCCCCAAGACACTTACTAGCTGTGTGACTTTGGGTAAGTCACTTAACCTATGTTGCCTTCAGTTTCCTCAGCAGTAAAATGGGGATAATAATAGAACCTACCTCCCAAGGTTGTTGTGAGAATCAAATGAGACAGTGTTTAGCACAGTGCCTGATCCATAGTGCACTTAAAAAGTGTTTGTTCCTTCCCCTTTCCTCTCAGTAACCCTAGGAGGTAGGTGCTATTATTATCCATATTTACAGATGAATGAAGAAACAGTTGGTTAAACAAAAAGAGTTAAATGACTTTCCCATCAGCACATAACTAGATAGTTAAAGCATCTGAGGCAGGATTTGAACTTGGTTCTTACAGACTCTTAAGTCTAGTACTGTTTTCTACTATGTCATGTAACTAACTGCCAGTGTAAATAAAGTAGATGAGCAAAAGAGACAGCCAGACAAAAGGTACTTTTTGAAGAAGGGGTGAAGGCATCTAGCTGAGGGGAATTAGGAAGGTGGTGGCACCTTAGGCTGAGCCTTGAAGAAAGACAGTAATTCTGAAAAGACAAGTAATGAGGAAGGAATGGATTTCAGGGGGTACTGAAGTTTTGGAAAAGGAAGGTCAAATTCTGGAATCATTTAGCTGAAGGTCCCTGAAGTCCCTTCCTTTAGGTTGTGTGCCATTTTGGAGCTGGATCTTGTTTGTCTCAGATCCCTGTCTAAGAAGTATGTATTTTAGAGAAAAGTGGAAGTTACTAAAGGCTCTTTTGAGCATTGGAGTAAGGAGGTGGAATCTTCACTTTAGGAAGATTATTTTGTCAGTTGTATGAAGGATGGATTAGAGAGTTTAGATAAGACATAACCCTTGCCCTCAAACAGTATACAGTATACTGTATACAGGAAGCAAAGAAGGAAACAAGCATTTAAATGACTGAGCAACAAAAATGTGCCAAACGCTCTGTTAAATGCTGGGGATACAAATAATGGCAAAATCAGTCAAGGAATATACATTCTTTTTTTTTTGTGGCTAGGCAGTGGGGTTAAGTGACTTGCCCAGGTTCACACAGCTAGTAAGTGTCAAGTCTCTGAGGCCAGATTTAAACTCAGGTCCTCCTGACTCCAGAGGAATATACATTCTAATAGAGAAGACAATGTGTTTGCATATAGACAAAATATGTGTAAAGTAGATGGAAAGTAATCTGATAAGGGAAGGCATTGGCAGCAGGAGGGGACCAGAAAGGCATCTACAGAAGGTGGGACTTGAGCTGAGTCTTTAAGGAAGCCAGGGAAAATGGGGCAGAGTAGGAGGAGGAGGAGATAACATTTTTAGGAATGGGGTAGACAGCCCATGCAAAATCATAGAAGTGAGTATATCATGTGAGGACCTGCAAGTAGGCCTAGGGAGTAAAGTATAAGAAAACTGGAAAGGTACTATGGAAAGGGCAAGGTTGTGAAGAGCTTTGCCAATTAGAGGAATTCATATAGGGAGCCATTGAAGGTTATTGAAGGAGGTAGGTGAGGTAAGGTAGTAAGGTAGTATCTTGGAAAAATAACCTTGGCAGCTAAGTGGAGTTTGGGTTGGAGTTGGGAGAGGCTTGAGGCAAAGAGAGCTGTGAAGGCTATTGGAATTGTCCAAACAAGATATACAGAGGACCTGACTTAGGTTTGTGGTTGTGTGAAGAAAGAGAGAGATATGACAGCTGAACCTGTGGGAGTTGATGAGATTACTACGTTAAGGAATAATAAATAATAACTAGTACATCAAGTAATAATTAATAAGGGTTTTTAAGCTGGGGTCTGTGAACTTGTGTTTTTAAAAAATATTTTGACAATTATTTTAATATAATTTGTTTTATGTATTTGAAAACATTGTTCTGAGAAGTTCATAGGTTTTTACCAGTTTGCCAAAGAGGTCCATGACACAAAAAAGGTTAAGAACCCTTGGTATTGAAGGAGAAAAGAGGAAGACATGGGACAGATCCTTAGAGGACACCCATGGTTAGTGGATATTATGGATGATGAAAGCAAAGCCAAAAAAGAGGTCTGAAAAGGAAGGGACAAGCAGTTGGGAGGAGAAACTGGAGAGAGCAGTGTCATGAAAACCTAGAAAGGAGTGAGTACAATGAGGAGAAGGTGATCGATAGTGTCAAAGGCTATAGAGAGGTCAAGAAGGATGTGGACTTAGAAACAATTCAGCAATTCCTAATGATGAAATAGGAAGCCATAATACAGAAGGCTTAGAATTGAGTGAGAGGAGAAGTGGAGGTACCTAATGTAGATAGATGGAGAAGACATGGGATGTGTGTGTAGGTAGCAAGGAAGGAGCCACTAGTGGCTAGGGATTCAGTGTTATCAGAAGGGAGCCAATTCTTCAGTGAGTACTTAAAGATGGAAGGAGTTAGAAAAGAAAAGTTTTAAAATGAAAGCAAGTTTGTCAATTAGGAAGTAGGCATTCCAGAGAGCAGCCAGTAGACAGTTGGGCAGATGGGAGTGAGGGATAGAGCAGTTGAGGATGGGGAACAGGGTTTGTATATGGACAACCACAGATTCAAAATCATTGGGAAGAGGAATATGAGGGGATTGGGGGTGTGTGGGGGGGAATGGGAGTATGCCAACCATTGAGGACCAAGTCCAGAGGTCCTCCAGGTTCATCCTTGTGACAGCTGGTGATGTTATATCCTAGAAAGCCTGTGTCATAGCAGGCAGAGAAATTAGAAGTGGCCAGGATGAGTGGTGAGTGGAGAAAGTCTCTGGGAAGGACCTGGGATCAGGATTGTGGCAGGGAGGCAAGTGACTAGGATGAGGACTAGTATACAGTGCTGGAGATGGCCATGGATGGAAGACTGTCCTTTTCAAAATAGGTAAGAAGTCGAAAGAAAGTAATGATCTCAAAGGAGCTATCTAGATATATCTTTATACTTTATAGCAATTGATACCCTAGACAGATCATGGCATGGACACCAAGCACCAGTCCAATAAGAGACTTTTTAGTTATGTGACAAAGAACCTAGATAATTCAACAAACATTATTCTAATAACCTCATCATTTGAAAGTTGGCCACCAGATGATGGATTCTCTTGGCCATAGTAACTCATGAAGATTGTCCATTAAGGCATAGAATGTTTCCAGTCTGCATTGCTGGAAGAATTATGCCCACTGATGAAATATTTTTAAGTATTGAAGTGTATGTCTTTTATTCAAGCTTCATATCCTTTCACATATGCACCTGAGCAAAATAGGTAATATGATAGTGTGATAGAATGTCTAGCGATTCTTTGAGTGAGAGTTAGGTATTTGGGAGTGAACCATAAAGATCAGTTGCAAAATAATTATGGGTTAAAAATTTCCAGATTATGACATCATCCTTTATATTGTATTTTATAGATATTTTGCTAATGGCATCTCTTTTTTTTTTCCTTTGAAGTGTCATAGGAATGGATGAAATTGTTGCTGAGTTTATCAGGAGGACTATCTTGAAAATCCCAGTTGCTGAAATAGGGAAAATCCTGAGAATATGGAACTTTATCCCAGAAAGTCAGCTGAAGACCATAAACCTTAAACAATGCAAGGAAAATGTCTCTCAAGATGTGGTTGAGCTTTGTAAGGTGAAAATATTTAAAATTTTTAGCACTGTGAAGACACAGGGGAGATAAATTGAATAGTGCAAAAACAAACAACTTAAAAATAATTATCCTAGTGTTACTAAAAGACAATAGTAAAGCCAAGAACAGAACAGTTTATGAGTATCGCAGTGAAATCTTTATATGTAAATCCATATGTTCCCAATACTTTGTTGCTATAACAAGGATGTAAATTACAATTATTGACCATTTGGGGATTTGGAAGTTGTAAGGGCTTTTTTTTTTTGTATGTGAATACATCTGTCTTAAACTATTTAGTTATGCTGCTGATATACCAAGTGAGGTAAACATGTGTATTCAAAATATTAAAACAATGAGTAGGCATTAAGTTTGGTGGGAGAGAGGTTAAATATATATAGGCATATTCAGGATAAGAGAGTACTCGATGGAGAAAAAAGGTTTATTCATGTGCTATGAATGAGAGAATTGATCTGACACTATTTTCTCCAAATTCTCCACTTTGTCTTTTAGAAGAAACGTGCCAGTATGAAAGAAGCTGCAATTTTAGACATAATTTGTAAGTTACATGGATCTCTACAACTTAATTGTGTTTTAAATTTATCCATTTGATATTTCTTGACTTAATATTTAATCGGGAATTCACAAGTATTTTCTTTGCTAGCATTTATGTAGTACTTTAAGATTTGCAAAGTACTTTACAAATATCTCATTTTATTCTCTCAACAGCCCTGAAAGGTAGGTGTTATTATTACCCTCATTTTACATATGAGGAAACTGAGGCATAAGCAGTTAAGACTTTGAACTTGAGACTTCCTGACTCCTGGTCTCTCCTTTGTGCCATCTAACTGCCTTTAGTTGTTATTATCTACTATGCTGGGTGTTAGTATTTTTCCAAGAATCTGTTCTCAGTCATTATCATGGATCTTATGACTTCTTTAGTTCCATTTTTCTAGCACTGACCACACTTAATATTTCTTCCTTCATTATTGTCGGTCATTGTTTAGAGGGGAGGTAGGTGGTATGGTGGATAAAGTGTGAACTTTAAGTCAGGAAATCCTACCTCAGACACTTGTTTTTGAGAGACCTTGGGCAAGTCACTTAATCTCTCTTGACCTCAGCTTCCTCATCTATAAAATGGGAATGGTAGCAGCCACCTACCTTACAAGATTGTTATAAAGATCAAATCAGATAACATACGTAAAGTGCTTTGCGAACCTTAAAGTATTATATAAATGCTTATTATTTTTACCTTTATTTTAGTAGGCAAGACCTTGTCTCAGGCCAGGCTGCTATGTCAAGTTGAGATTGAAACAACGAGACACTTGTAATCCATCTAACAGTTAACAAAAAGACATTCAGAGCAGTGAAAGGATATTCACTAGGGATAAAGCATTGATTCAGCTAGCCACAGCTTGCTGATCCTAACTGGTAGTTTAAAGCTTCAGATGGGGCCATTGGCTTTTCTGCTCAGGTGACCTGGAAGCTACATTAACAACCCCTTGAGACAATTCAGTCTTGAAAAAACTTGAAGAAAAACTAGCTTAACTTTCATGAGGTAGGGCCTTAGGAAGACTAACTTGTCTCACATGGCAGAAGACTATGGTAGACATCCCTCTTACAGCAGGTCTCTACTACAGAGTGTGTGCTCCCTAAATCTGTGTTGTCTCATCTACTTTCCATCGCATGAAAACAACTTTTTCTTCTTTGAAAAACACTAAAACAGCAAAACTTTGACTCTCCCACATAGGAGCTAAACAAACCTAGTTGTGGCATATTTTTCTAAAACATTTTGTTTATTGCTACTTAAAAAATGCCCCAAATCCATTATAAACTTTTCAGTGACTTGAGTGTAGCTAGTGTACTCACTGTTGTTTACAAGTTTACTTGTCGGCATTAAAAACCAAAATAGGCAAAAAGTTTTAAAATATAAATGATTTAGCATATTTTGCTTTTTAAAATTTCTTAAAACCTAGGAAATATAGATTATACTGAAAAATGAAAATTCCCATTACAATAACACTTTACTTATCAGCCAGACTCAGAAACAACAACAAAGAACTAAGGAAGTAAATGAAGTCTCTGAATAGACAAAATAGATATCATAGCGTCTGTCATAAAGTTCAGACATTGTACAAAAGACGAATCATTAGGCAAATCACTCTTGAGACCGTTTACTCTTTCTTTCTTGACAGTTTCAAAGAGCTTGCTGATCCAGTTGGTTGGCCCATAACCATAAATGGGCGTATTAGAAACAGATATACCAACAGACACAAGTAATTGCTAATGGAAGTTAGAAAAACTACAAAAAGCAGAGGAAATTTTAAAGAGCAAAAAAATTGGAGTCTTTTTATTCCAGGAGCAAACCTCCCTACCATAAAGGTTCACCTGAGCTTATCACTGCTTTAATGTACAGTACAACAACACTATCAGATAACCAGGTGGTGAAGTGGATAGAACACTGGGCCTGGAATCAGAAACACCTGAATTCAAATCTGGCCTCAGACACTTACTAGCTGTGTGATCCTGAGCAAGTCACTTCACCCTGTTGGCCTCAGTTTCCTCATCTGTAAAATGAGCTGGAGAAAGAAATGGTAAACCACTCCAGTATCCTTGCCAAGAAAACCCCAAATGGAGTCATGAAGAATCAGACATGACTGAAATGACTGAACAATAACAACAAATGTTTCCATTGATGACCCTGAGTTATAATTTGTAAAAGGGCAAGGTATGATCAATGAATTCTTTCTAAGAAAGCTGGAAAATGTTTCAACTATCTTAGCAGAATTTTCCTGATATATGGTTAAAGAAAACCAAGTTAAACTGATACTCTTAATTTATCTAGAAGACTCAGTTATCTGAAATAGATAATTCTCAGTGCCATTTAATAAATGAGGTATTGCCATTTTTGCATAATTTTGATTATGATATGGACCTGCTATTATTAAAATGTTTCAAAACACTATATGATAATAGAATAAATAAGAACTCATATTTGCTTGACACTTTAAATTTTCCTTCCTCACAACAACATGAGATAGAAGTTATCTCCATTTTACTCACAATGGAGCGCTCAACCTCATCAATATTTGGGTGGGCTCTTGAGCCCAGGTCTTCTGACTCTTAAGACTAGTGCTTTTAGATGTTTAAGAAAAAGCAAATACTTTGTCATGGGAAATAATTCTTATTCTTTTATTTCCTCAAAATAGTTTTAAGTAATTTCTGCTGATCATATGTTTTCAGGAAAGACTGATGTGTATAACAAGTTATATATAACTTTTATGAATTAGTAGTATTCTTTTCTCTAAATTCTTTCAGAAAAATAAAGTACTTAGGACCAAATATTTTCAAAGACTTGTAGTAGAATGAAAATAGTTCTCTTTCCCTTCCCCTCTCTTTTTAGATCATCAAACTTGCCAAATCAAGAAAATTTGGACTGTTTATAAAATGACGAAAGCCCCAGGTATGTGATATTGCAGTTTTAGACTAAACAATTGTCATTGATATGTCAGGTATTTAAAATTAAACTGCATGTTCTCCAGAAATGTGTGTTCTCAAAATTATCTAAAATCACCTTTTCTTTGTAGAAAGATAAGTGAGTACAAAGGTACCGTGGCAGGGGTTTAATAATAATGTTTGTGTGATTTGTTAGTTTTGCTTTTTGGACTAGCACAAAATGGTTAGCTTGTGAATTCTTTGTGAGGGTATTTACTGAAGTCAGCAGCTTCTCTCTGTCCCTGTTGAATAAAGTATAAAATCAGTAGCCCATTCTGACTTACACAAAAGAAGACATGTAGCCTAAAATGAAATAGCTAGAAGAGCAACAGTCAAAAGAAGGCTACAACCATAAAGGTTACCAGAATCTGGGATGGGATGGAACGTTTTGTCCACATCATTGTTTCTCCATGAGTCAGCAAAAGCCATGAGATTTATGAGGGGGTGAGGAGCAATGGCAGGCAGGCTCTCATTTAGCCCTGCATCTCTGACAACATATCAGGTGACTTTTCCATCCCTGATTGTTGTAGGCAGTGAACAAGATTTTAGGGATTTGGCTGGCAAATTAAATAAGCAGTATAAGCATGAAGTATGGAAATTTCCAGAACATGACAAGAAGAGGATTGCTATCTAAGCAGGGATGCTATTTTTTTTTGTTTTATTTTTCAACATTCACTTTTGTAAGATTTTGAGTTCTAACTTTTCTCCTTTCCCTCTCTTCCCCCCTCTCCAAGATAGCATGCAATCTGATATAAGCTATACATGTACAATTATATTAAACATATTTCCACATTAGTCATGTTGTGAAAGAAGAATTAGAACAAAAGGGAAAAACCACAAGAAAGAAAAAAAAGAAAATAGTATGCTTCAAACTGCATTCAAACTCCATAGTTCTTTCTCTAGATGTGGATAGCATTTTCCATCATATTTTTTGAATTGTCTTAGATCATTATATTGTTGAGAAGAGCTAAGTCTATCAAAGTTGGTCATTGCACAATGTTGCTATTACTGTGTACAATGTTCTGGTTCTGCTCACTTCACTCAGAATCAGTTCACGTAAGTCTTTCCAGGTTTTTCTGAAATCCACTTGCTCATCATTTCTTATGGAACAATGGTATTCCATTACATTCATGTACCACAACTTTTTCAGCCATTCCCCAATTGATTGGCAGCAGAGATGCTATTCTAAGCACTCTGTTGATATCATATACACATACACACATATACACAGAGATATCAGATAATCTTGGGTTGAAGGGATTAACAACTGAGGGGACTATAAAAGAACTGAGGCAGTAGTGGCACTTTAGCTAACTGTTTCAGGAAACTAGGGACTGCAAGAAGTAGAAAATGAGAGTAAATAATTTCAGGTGTGGGGATAGTCAGTAAAAAGGCAGAGTTTGGAAATTATGTGTCATTTGTGAGGTACAGCAAAAAGACTAGTTTTATTGGACCAAAAAATGCACATGGAGGAGAGTAATGTGTAATAAGGTTATAAATGCAGGATGGCACCAGAAGAGTTTATATTTGATCATGGAAGTAAGAGGGCCCCACTGGAGTTTATCGAATAAGGGGATGATATGGTCAGATCTGTGCTTTGTGAAAACCACATTGATGGCTTTATGGAAGATGGATTGGAGTTGAGGGGGATGGGGCAGAGAACTTGAGGCAGGGAGATAAATTAAGCTATTGAAATAGTTCAGTTGAGAGATGATGAAGGAACTGAACTAGAGTGGTGGATTGTGAGTGGAGAGAAGGGGGACGTATATGAGAGATGTGATGGAGGTAAAACAAAATATGGCAACAGTTGGTTATATGGCATGAGGGAGAGTAAATGGTATTACTCTTGACATAAAATAGAGAAGTTTGAGAGAATGGAAAGATTATGAATTATATTTTGGCCATGTTGAGTTTGAGATGCCTGCAGGACTCCATTTCAAAATGACCAAGAGGCAGTTATTAATACACTGTTAGATCTTAGGAGAGAGACACCAGGTCTGGATATATAGATCTGATAGTCATTGTACAGCAATGACAAACCCAGAGAGGAGCAGCTAGAAAGAGAATGTGGTCCTTAGTGTCAGGTGCTGTCGAAAGAGGTCCAGAAGGATGGGTCTCTTACCCTACCCAACAGTCATCCTACTCTCATGCTTTGTGGCTATTCCATTCTTTTCCTTGTCACTTTGACAGGTGAAGAGGTTGACCTTTCTGATATGGAAGAGTTTAAAGATTCTTTTAAGAAAGTTCTTCAAAGAGCCTTAAAAAACGTAAGTGATATTAATAAACATGTTTATTTCAGTTGCAATGTATTTATGCTCTTATATTTTATTCATTCTTTGTTATAAAGATTAGTAATGCATCTCAGGTGCCATGTTGTACTGTTACCAAGCAGATATCTTAGTTGTCTTCCATTTGTAATCCATGTCATGATTGTTTCTCCTTTCTTCATAGCCCCTTTAGAATCATCTGCTATCTTTACACACATTAGTTATTATCTTCTCAGGTATCTCCTATAAATCTCTCCAGATGTCTTCCTTTTTTTATCTGTTTTCTACCATGTGAAGAAAAATATTTTTCCTTCCCTTTTTAAGAAGCTTTGACCTATGTATGTCATAACTAAATATGTTCAGATATATTTCTAAAACACTTTGGCTATTCTTTTTAAACACCCACTCGTCAAAAAGTCTGTTATGAATATATCATGAGTTGAAGGAATTGAGGTGGTTACCCCTCCTTGATTAGAGGTGGGGAAGCCAAACAACAGATTTCTCCTTTATAAATGTCCTGACTGGCATTAAAGACTTGTACAGACACCCTATCCATATTGTTAGTAACACTGATGGGATATTTCTAGAGAGTCTCTTATTAAATTGAACACAAGTGACTAATTGATCTTCTAGTTCTCAAAAAGAAAAGTAACCCAGTAGCTGTGGTCCAGCTGAAATCTATACTTGACAAAGATATCTCTACACAGTCTTTTTCCATCCATTCTTAGTTAAAGGCAGATATAATGGTTGTGAAGAATGATGATGTGATGAAGAAGATAATGTGATGGTTGTCTCTTGGAGTCTAGACAAAATTAATCTTCCCTGTCCTCTGGCTTCCCTTTTCCATGTCCATGTCCCTTCTTGGTCATGTTCCTTTTAGGCACTTTGAGTCATAGAATGTTAGACCCGGAAGAATCATTAGAGATTATCTAGTACAGTCCTCTCGTTTTGGCTATGAAAAAACTGAGGCCTAGAGGTACTCAGAATCAGTGGTTGAGCAAAGATAAAGTGGGAGAGAGAGAAAGGGAAAGGAAGGGAACAAGCATTTATTAAGTGCCAGCTGTATGCCAGGTACTGTGGTAAGCCGTTTACGATTATGATCTCATTTGATCCTTACAATCTGGTCTTCCTCACCATGTCGCCACCTAGCGGCCTGAGCTGGTAGTGGCAGGATAAAAACTGTGGTCTCAACTCAGTCTGGGATACTCTTCTGTTTTCTAAAGACCCTCCTCTAGTCAAAGCAGGAAAGGATTTGGCGTCCGTCCTTTAAATTTGCCTGATATATCATACTTTAGTGTGAATGGGGTTTGCTTATTGTGCTTCACTTCTTGGGTTTACAATTTATACCTCTTATATGGATTTGCCTTTTAGATAAATCTTTAACTTTTCTCCTGTTAAAAAAATTTTAGGCTAGTAACTTGTAGGCAGTTACAGGGAAGGAGGAGGCCTTCCTGTTGCCCTGAAATCAAACTAACGCTGCTTTTAAAGCTGACTCTGGAAAAAACCACTTTTCTTTTTTAGATGACTTGAGGGGATGGGTGGGGAAGAAGTTAGAAGGGATAATCTCTGGTTTCTTCCTCCAAGGTAACCAGTTAATTCAGCAATCCAAGAAATATTAAGTGATCACTAAGTATAGATGACTATGATAGAGTGGTGTGATAGGGAATTGGGATATGACATGATCACCTACTAAAGATACTCCTCTGTTTCCATGGAGAAAAGTATGCCCCCCTATAGCTGCTGAAAGCCTCTCCCCAGCTTTCAGAGGCTGTTGCTGAAGCTGGAACTCTTGTTCGCTAACCCTTCTTGTGCCCTACTGATATTAGACACCACGGAGCTAGTGCCTGATCTTACTGTGCCCTCTCCCATTTCATTACCTCTGGCTTGGACCTACCCTTAAAAGCTGGCAATCGTGTCGTCATCCTTAAGTAGAACATCCTCAGCCTTCTAGCTTGGAGTTTTGAGGCACAAGAAATAATGACTATTAGGAATTAGATCCAGAACCTTTGTTTTTTACCCTGTGTGTTTATGATTTGGCTAACTTTACATATTTTAGAGAAAAAATTTATTAAGCCCATTATAAAAGAGAATCTACAAAGAAGTGAAAAGGTTATAATTGGTTTGGCTGTGTAAAGGTGATACTGCTGATTACAGCCATTTCTATGAATTGCTTGCTATTTATGCCTAATTAGAGTGTACCATAAAAATGATTATGCATCATTAAATGTAGAGCAGATTAACTTGCAGAATTTGTAGTTGATTCCAGCACTAAATTTTAAAACTGTTTATTAGGGCTTGATCTTCCATTTATATACGTTATCTTACTTTGATCCTCATAGTATCCATCTAAGGAAGGCTGAACCAGTTGTTATTCTCTTCATTTCACTTATGAGGAAATGAGGCTTAAAGAAGATAAATGATTTGCCCAAAGTCACATAGCACGTGAGTGGCAGAGAACAGACTCCTGATGAAATACTCTGCCCCATTACACTGTATAGCATGGTCATCTGCTCATAGCTTAAAAAAAAAATTAGAGGGTACATTGGTCAGCAGTACAAGTATGTCCAAATGAATGAAAAAATTTCTGCTTATTTGGTGAATTAGCTGCCTATACCTCTGCAACTCTATATCTATTATGTGAAAAGTTTATGTACCTATTATATAAAAGTGTTTCTGCAACAAATTATGCAGTTTGTTTGAAATGTTGAATGTGTATGTACACATATATATACACACATGTATGTTGATGTTATTTCTTGAGTAAAAGTATTTTAAGTCCATATTCTGTCCTTTTTGTCCCAGTTGTGTAAGTAGAAACTAACTTTTGCTATAGGAGAATAAGAAGACTAAAATTTTTCAAAGTTATAAGTTTCAGAATATTAATCTGTCCGTCAACTTAAAGATGACAGTTGTCATCTTTAAGAAAAGCACCTATAGGGGCAGCTAGGTGGCGCCGTGGATAGAGCACCGGCCCTGAAGTCAGGAGGACCTGAGTTCAAATCCGACCTCAGACCAAACACTTGACACTTACTAGCTGTGTGACCCTGGGCAAGTCACTTAACCCCAATTGCCTAAAAAAAAAAAAGAAAAAAAAAGAAAAGCACCTATAAATATGTAGGGGCTACTAATTTTCCACGTTTAGTTTCACTTACTCAACAAATATTTATTGAACACTTTGTGTATCTAAGGTTCTATACTAAGTACTATGAGGGATATAAACATCAGTTGCTTTTTTTTACATAATCTCCTTTGACCCTCACTATATTCCTGTGAGTCAGGTGCTATTAATAAGCTTCATTTTACAGGTGAAATTGAGTATCAGAGAGCTTTAGTAACTTGCCCAATTATTATACAATTAGTAAGTGTAAGAGGCAGACTTTGAACTCAGGTCTTCTTGAGCTAACACTGTTCTCTGAGAACATGAATTGAGATACAAACAGGAATAGAAGTCAAGGAATGAAATAGAAACTGAGGCTTCCACTTCCCAACTGAGTATTTTTGGTTCACTTTCATTTAAAGTATAATACTTATTCATTCCTGTAGAAGATGGGATTGTAGCTGGGTCTTCAGGGAAGCCAGGAGGCAGAGATGAGGAGGGAGAGAATTCCAGGCATGGGGGACAGTTGTGAAAATGCCCAAGGAACAGCAAGGAGAACAGTGTCACTGGATCAAAATATGTGGGACTTGGTGAGTATAATGTGAGAAGTGGGGGTGGGGCAAGAAGGTTAATGAAAGAGGATTTTATATGATCCTGGAGATGCTATAGGGAGCCGCTGGAGTGAGATACAGGGAGTTGGAACGGTCAGACCTACACTTACGAAAATCACTTTGACAGCTGAGTAGAGGATTTACTAGAGTAGGGAGAGACTTGTGGTAGGGAGAACAATCAGCAGACTTGTGATAGTCCAGGCATGAGGTGATGGCTTACATCAGGGTACTGGCACTGTCAGAGGAAAAAAGGGAATCCACATAAAAAATGTTATGAAGGTAAAATTAATAGGCCTTCGCAACAGATTGGTTATGGGGCAGGGTGAGAATGAAGAGTTGAATGACATTACAAGAGCATATGAATTCTATTTTGGCCAAACTGACCTTGAAGGCAGGATGTGTAGAAATAATTTAAGGATCATAAGTATCACAGAAAATAACATTAAATAGTCTGAAAACCATACTGTAGGCCACCATTTTCTTTCACATGTGTATTTTTAAGTAGAAGAAAATAGTTTAGAAGTTTTGGAAACAGAAGGCATATTCATAATTGATTTATTCCACAGATTGCCTACAGAGAAAAACTCAGCTCCAAACTGCAGTCATCTAGTGGTTAAATTTCAGAATTTCATAGAACTCAAGCATTAGAAAGGACCTCAGCAGCCATCTAGCCCATCCTCTCCTTGAAAAGAATACTCACCATTTAAGTGTAAAACAACATTTAGTTGTTGGGCAGCCTGCGGATTGCCTGTGTTACTATGGACTCCTGTTTCTCACAGCCACCATCCAAGGAGCCCCTACTCTCTCACCTCCTTTTCCCCTACCAACAGCTAGGTGGCCCCATCAGGAAGACTCATTTTCCTGAGTTGAAATGTGGTCTCAGACACTTATTAGCTGTGTAAACCTAGACAAGTCACTTAATCTTGTTTGCCTCAGTTTCCTCATCTGTAAAAATGAGTTGGAGAAGGAAATGGCAAACCATTTCAGCATCTTTGCAAGAAAATCCCAAATGGGGTCACAGAGAGTTAGACATGACTGAAAAGACTGAACAATAACAACAACAACATTAATAAGCACCCTGAGAGAGGTTAGGGACTTGCCCAGCATCACAACTAAGGAAGTGTCTCAGGTAGGATTTGAATTCAGGTCTTCCTGACTCCAGTTCCAGTTTTCTATCTGCTATGCCACCTTGCTGCCTTGAAATTCAAAACTAGATGCCCCAAACTTGTCTTACTGTTGGAAATATTCTTGTCTTGGCTCTTTCTTTCCTTCTGTAAGAGTTCAAAGTAGAAACTGACTCATTCAGAGGAAGTGGTAATCTGTGGTAAACCTATCAAAAAAATTATTTTTGAGACTGGGCCTCCGTCTCTCACCAGGATGGCAGTGCAATGGGTAGTCATAGGCCTGACCCCACCTCTGATGGGCCTATTGGCTTTGACCTGATTCCAACCTGGGTCATTCCATTCTTCCTTTGGCAATGGTCCCTATTCCTGGAGATTTGCCATTTAATGTCAGATTTATTGGCTTTAGACCTACAGCTGAAAACTCCCAAACCTCAGGATTCCACCAGCCTCAGCTCAGCATCTTGCTGGTTTGGTGGATAGAATACTGCCCCTGGAGTCAGGAAGACCTAGATTCAACTCTGTCTTCAGACACTTAATAGCTAGGTGACTCTGGACAAGTCACTTAACCTCTCTTTGCCTCAGCTTCCTCATCTGTAAAATGGGGATAATAATAATAACACCTGCTTTTCAGGGTTGTCAAGAGGGTAAGATGAGAAAACACTTTGAAAACCTTAAAGTTCTATATAAATGCTAGCTAGTTAGCCTAAGGCCAGCCAACAGGGATTATAGGTGTGGATCACCATGCCCAGCTATATATTAAACTTTGTTCAAATTCTCCCATAAGATAAAAACAACAAAATTTCCTTTAGTTCTAAACAGACTTTTTGAAGCAGAAAATTAGTGACCATTTGTGTTATTTCTGTAAAGTTAGTAATTCTTGAGGATCAGAGAACGTCTTACAGTATAGATAGAGGTAGTACGTTTCTATTACTACACAGAAACCTTGCTTTGACACTATTTTTTATAAAGTCAGATTGGGGATTAACGATTGAATTACCAAAAAGACCTCATTAAAAAGCCATTTGCTCTTAAAATAATACTACAATTTATACTTTGAACTCTTGAGCAGTGGGAGGTGGCAGGGTGGTTTGGCTGTGAAGTCAGTAGAACTGAGTTTAAATTCCAACCTTGACACTCTCTGTAGGATCATGGGCAAGTCACAGTTACCTCTCTAGGCCTCAGTTTCACCATTTGTAAAAGGAGGAGGTGGGATTAGATGTCTTCTAATGTTCCAGCTTCAGATTCTATGATCTTATAATTCTGGTATTTTAGGACAAGTCTGCTTAGTTCAGTGAAAAAGGCATCAAATTTGAAGTTGAAGAACCTAGGATCAAATCTTTGTCTTGTTATATTAAACTATTTCTGTAACCTTAGGCAATTCAATTTAACAAGAATTTATTAAGAATTGACTGTAAGTACCGTAAGAAAGTGCCCTAAGCACCCTACTTCTCCTCAAGTCTCATATTGAGTGCCACTTCCTTCCAGGGGCCTTTGCTGTTTCTCTCCCAGTTGTGCCCTTGCCTCCATCAGTTTGTAAATCCTGTATGTCCTTCTCTGTGAACATGCTTTGTCTCTCTAGAAGAATTCACAGTGAGAGCACAAGGACAAAAATGAAAAATAGGCCCAGCTCTCAAGAAGCTTATATTCTACTGGGGGGATACAAATAGGTAAACAGATAATTTGAGGAAGAACAGAGCTCTAATAACTATGGATCACAAAAGGCTTCTCGTAGGAATTGGCATACGAATTGAATCTTAAATGAAGATAAGGAGTCTTTAAGGCAGAGGGTGAAGAAGGAAAGCATTTCAAGCGTCAGTAACAGCTTGCACAAGAGCATGAATGCAGGAATTATGTAATGCCTTCAGGAAATTGCAGTTAAGCCAGTTTGATTTGAAGGTAGTGTAATGTGAAATCTGGGACTTAGTTTCTTCATCTGAAAAAGGAGAGGGTTGGACTAGATTATCATCTATGTCTGACCTCCCTTGTCTTGGTGAATCCCTGAGCTCCATCTAGGACCCTTCTCCTTTTTCTCAGTATTCCCTCTTTGATGATTTCATCAACTCCTATGTATTCAACTAGCACTATACAGAAATGACTCCCAAATCTTAATGCTCCAACACTCATCTCTTTCTTGAACTCCATTTCTGCATCTCCTGCTTACTTGACATTTCTACCTGGGTATCTCATAGGCATGTCAAAATCAACATGTCCCAATTTATTTCCTTTCCCTTTAAACTTCCTAACTTCCCTGTTTCTGTTCTTGGGGTGGGGGGGTGGGGTTTGTGCACCAGCATCCCTCTAGTCATCCTGGTTCAAAACCTACCATTCTTCTAGCTCTCGGAACAGTTATCAGATCACTACCATTCCCTAGGTCTGAGCACCATAATCATGTGAACACTACAGTGTCATTCAATTGTCCTGTGACTCCAATGATCATTCCCTCTAATTTCCCTGTCAAAAACATTTTTCCCTGACCACCATTTATATATGTTATATTCCTCTTTTAGAATATGTTACTTGGGGGCAGGGACTGTCTTGCTTGCTTGTGTATATATCCCCAGCACTTAGCACTGGTGCCTGATGACCTAGTAAGTGCTTAATAAATGGTTTTCATTAATTCACTCACCCTTCATATCTAATCAGTTTCCCAGTCTTGTCCTCCTCGACACCTTTCAAACTTGTCCCTTTCTCTTTACTCATATCACAGCCATTCTAATCAAAGCTCTAATTTCTTCTCACCTTCTAATTGGTCTCTCCTGCATCCAGATACATTCTACTTCTTTCTATCTTCTGTGCATTTGCCAAGTTGATATTTCTAATGTACAAGTCTGACCATATCATTCCCCTGTTCAAGAAGCTTCAGTGGCTCCCCACGGACCTTAAGACAAACCATGGTGTTTGGCATTTAAATCCCTTCATAGTCTGGCTCCAGCCGATATCTCTAGGCTTATTACACATTACTCCCCTTCATATATGTCACAGTTCAGCCAAACTGCATTTGCTATTTTATAGACGTAGCATTGTATTTCCTGTCTCTGTCCATTTTTGCACACTGTCATCTATGCCTGGAATGCTCTCCCTCCTCATCTCTGCCTCTTGATGCTTCTCCTCAAGTCTCATATTGAGTGCCACTTTCTTCTAGGGGCCTTTGCTGTTTTTCTCCCAGTTGTTGTGCCCCTGCCTCCATCAGTTTGTAAATCCTGTATGTCCTTCTCTGTGAACATGCTTTGTCTCCCTAGAAGAATTAAGTTCCTCTAAGATATCTCCAAAGGCCTCCAAAATGCTATCTACATCCAAAGAAAGAAGTTTGAATGCAGATCGAAGCATACTATTTGCTATTTTTTTTTCTTCTATCGTGTTTTGTTTCCTCTTTCTGGTGGGTCCTCCTATTGGTTCTAAATCTTATCTACAACATCACTAATGTGAAAATATGTTTAATAGGAATATATATGTATAGCCTATATCAGATTGTGTGCTGTCTTGGGGAAGGAGGAGGGGAGGGAGGGGAGAGAAAAATTTAAAACTCAAAAGCTTATGGAAGTGATTGTTGATCATTCAAAGTAAATTAATAAAAAATTTAAAAATAAATTAAAATTCCCCCCCCACACCAAAAAAAAGAATTAAATTCCTTGGAGGCAAAGCCCTCATACTTTCATATTTGTATCCCTAGTGCCTGGCATGTCATAGGTACTTAACAAATGCTTATTTGATTGATCAATCTCTAAGGTCTTTTCTATCACTAAATCTATGATCAAAGGAAAATTCCATTCTGGTGCTCTGTATGTATTTGATACCTTGGGTATTTTCCTCATTAAAGACTTTATAGACCACAGATTCTTAACCCAGTGTTCCCTTGCTGGAGGTGAGGTGTAGCAGGTGGAAGTCTGTGGGTAGATTTCAGGGAGTTCTTGAACTTGGAAGGGAAAAAAAAATCCATCTTTCAACTAACTATTATTTAAAAAAAAATTCTCTGAAGGGGTCCATAAGCTTCACCAGATTGCCAGAGTGGGCCATTAGAGACAGCTAGATGGCTCAGAGAGTGGATCACTGGCCTTGGAGTCAGGAAGACCTGATTTTAAATCCATTCTCAGACACTTACTAGCTCTGTGGCCCTAGGCAAGTCATTTAAATCTTTGTATGCTCATCTGTAAAATGGGAATAAGCACCTACCTCACAGGGTTGTTGTGAGGACCAAATGATATATATTTGTAAAGCCCTTAGCATAGTTCCTGGTATGTAGTAGGCACTTAATAAATGCTTATTCCCTTCCTTTCCCCCATCACACAAAAGGTTAAGAACCCCTGTTCTAGGTAAATATATGAAAAGAGTTGTCTATAGTTATCATCATCATCATCATCATATTGTTTCCAAAGATTCCCCAAACACTATGGGATGACTTGTGGTAGTCAAGATGATATCCTTGAGAAAGAGGAGAAAATAACACACTGAATTTTAGTGTGTCCAAAAGCTTTAGTAACCTTATAGAAAATGCTGTTGTAACCACTTGTATTATATTTAATAAAACATAATTTTAATTTTGTTTAATAAGGTGCATATCAGCTTCAGAGACAGTGAGGATACTGCGGTATGGATTCGAATTGCCTGGGGAACACCTTACATGAAACCAAACCAGTACAAAACTACCTACATGGTGTATCATTCCCAAACTCCTTTTGTCTTCATCTCTCACTGCCGGATTAAGAAGTACATCCCAGAGCTCTGGCAGGTAAGGACTGTCTTGCCAAGCTAAACATTTGCATCATCATTCCTTAAGGGTCTGTGATACCAGCTGGGCATGTGGCTAGAGAAACCAATGATTCTTCTTCCCTGAAAAACAAGTGATAATTGTGTCACAACCACTGTTCAGTACCTGTTCTGTCTCCCAGAAGCCTCTCTAAGTCTGACTGTACCAGACTGCCTTGTTAACTGCTGCTTCCCAGCACCTGTGCTCTACCATTTCAGGTTATACTTCAGTGAGACTTTATAGTTGTACTGCATTGTGATCATAAGCATTAGATTCTCCCTTCAGATTTTTAACTAGAAATAAGCAGTTCAAGTACTATAATCTCTGTTTTGCACATGACTTTGCATGGCATTGTTTTAGCAAGGATCACAGTTATTGTTGAACTCACTTTGTTATGGGATGTCAATGATTTTTACCATTTAAATGCTGGTTATTTGAACTTATATTGTTATTTCTACTATAGTTTTCTAATTTCATCCTCTCCAAATTGGGGGTGAGAGAGTTATTGTACAGTAGCTTACAAATGGACACTTTCTTAATTCTGATAACATAAAACAAATTACTATGCACCCTTCTTTCTCCTCTCTCTTACCCCTCCTCCCAGTTTTTTTAAATTATTTTTTATGTTAAAGAACAGTATAACATTCTATAAAATTTAGGCAAATTATATATCCATAATTAGTTATAGGAATCATTCAGAAGCCATTCATTTTAGGTTACCTTTTTCCAAAGTTTTCCATTTTTTAGTGGAAAACATTGATTATTTAAAATCTTTCATATTTACTTTGGCAAATGTAAGCACAGTGGGACAATAATCATAATAGTTTTGCTCATTTTTGTCTCAAGGCACTGATGACTGCTGGCAATTACCATAAGATCCAACAAATGGAACTCCGAAGCCTATATCTGGATTCTCTTAAGGCTATTGTTTTTAAACAGTATAATCAGGTGAGCCATTCAGTATGTTTTCAAAATTAAGTCTTGTTTCAGGCCTGATTAAAAATAACCTAGCAAGTGGGAGAATTCATCTTTTTCAAGAGCAGATTGCATTATATATTGTGATTTATTTTTTTATGCCAAATGTATGTTGATGCATTGAGACTGTGGTAGGTCTACTCTGTTTATCTGTGAATTCTTGGATATGTGGTAACACTGCTCAAGGTTTTTTGCACACAATAGGTACTTAATAGATGCTTGTTAAATGACTATTTTTTAATTAGTAGGGAGCAAAAAGGATCATAAGATTTATATTTTGAAAAAACCTTAGAGATTTAGTCCAAACCCCTCATTCTGTAAATGCAGAAACTTAGGCTTGTCAAGATAAAGTAATTTGCCCAAAGTCACAAAGATAGTCAGTAGCAGAGCTGATATTTGAACCCTGCTTGTCTGACTCCATATCCAGTGTTATTTCCATGATATCAAAACCATCTATCTGAAAACCAACATTTCATCCATAGGAACCAGCATTAGAAAGTTTAAAATAGTTTTCTCTCATTTTAAAATCAGGTTAGCTAATTGCTTATCTACACTATTAATTTTTATTAAAACAGCTACTAGTTTTATTTATCAATTCAGTCGTCTTTTTTGCTTTCAATTGTATTAATCTCTACTTTTCAAAATTTCTACTTTATTATTTAGTTTGGGATTTTCAATTTGTTACTCAAGTTTTTTAAATTGCACATCCAATTGATTGATTTGTTTCTCCTATTTTGTTGATGAATACTTAGAAATTTAAACTTTCCTCTTAGAACTGCTTTAGCTGCGTCTCATAAGTTTTGGTATGTATTCTCATTACTGTCATTTTCTTTGTTGAAATGTTCTATTGTTTCTGTAATTTGTTCTTGCCCCACTAATTCTTCAGAATTATGTTATTTAATCTCTAATTGCTTTTAAGATCTTTAAGAGACCTTAATTGAACATAATTTTTGTTGCATTGCAATCAGTAAATGCTCGAGAAGGAAATGGCAAACCACTCCAGTGTCTTTGTCAAGAAAACCCCAAATGGTATCACAAAGAGTCAGACATGACTGAAAAATGACTAAATAACAGTAAATAATGTGCTTAGTATTTACATTTTTCTACATTTTTATTGTGTGAGATCTTTATGTTCCAGCACATGGTAATTTTTGTCAAGGTACCATATACATCTGAGTTATATATAAGTTCCTTCCTATTCCCATTCAATAATAGCCAGAGATGTATCTTCTTTAATTTTTCTGAAGTTCTATTCAGACCCTTAATTTCATTCTTGTCTAGCTTTTGGTTAGACTTCTCTATGTCTATAAGTTCCTCTGTTATTATGGCTTTACTGTCTATTTCTCCTTCCAGTATAATTAGTTTTTCCTTTAAGTATTTAGATGTTTTGTTATTTAGTGCATATATATTAAATAATGACACTGATTCATTATTTATGATACCTTTAAGCATAATATAATTTTCATGCTTATCTTTTTATTTTATTACTGTAGCCTTATGTGAAATCATGATTGCTATCTTATTTTTTTAGTTCAGCTAAAGCATAAAAGATTTTAATTAAGTGAATCTTTGTTTCAAGTGTTTCTTGCAAGAAAAATACAATTGAAAATAACTAGTGAAACTATAAAATATTTAGGATTATATCTACCAAGATTCACCCCAAAACTTTGTGAATCCAACTCTTTGCAGAAATAAAGATAGACTCAGTAACTGGAGAAACTGTTCATGGATAGGTTAAGCCAATATAATAGAAATGGAATTTCTACTTAATTTAGTTATTCAGTGCCTTGCCAATCATACTACAGGACCACTTTGTAGAGCTATAAAACATAATAAAGAATTCATCTGGAGGATCAAAATGTTCAGGGAATTAATAACAAAAAGTGGGAAGGCAAGGAACCTAGCAGTACCATATCTCAAACTCTGCTATAAAGCTGCAAATCTTCAAAACAAGTTGGTGCTGGGTAAGAAATAGAGAAATTGATTTGTGGCATACATTATGTATCCAGCATGCAGAGGCAAACAAACAAAGAAGCACAGTGTTTGATAAACCCAATGATCCCAGTTACTGAGGGAAGAACTATTTGACAAAAATTACTGGGAAAACTAGACAGTAATGTGGCAGGAAGTTAGGTTTAGAACAACACTTCACACCATACACCAAAATAAGCTTCAAATATATATGTAGCCTAGATATAAAAAGTCACATCACAAACAAATTAGATGAGCAAAGAAATTAACCTTTTGAATCTATGGACATGGGAAGAGTTAATGACTAAACAAATGACAAGAGCATCACAAGATGAAAGGGACAATTTTGATTACTCTGGATAAATAAATCTAACAGTACAATTTAGAAGGTAATAGATGTCTTGCAAAAAAATCTTTTCAACAAGTTTTTCTGATATAGGTCTTATATCTAAAATATATAAGGAAGTAAGATTAAGAGCCAGTTTCCAATAGGTGAATGATCAAGGGGTATGAACAGGCAGTTTTCAAGGGAAAAAATCTAAGTTATCAATAATCATAATGAAAAAATGCTCTAAATCACTAATAATTAGAGAAATGAAAATTAAAGCAACTTTAAAGTTCCATTTTACAACTATCAACTGGCAAAGATGACAAAAAAGGAAAGTGGAAAATGTTGCAGGGGCTATGGAAAACCAGGTATACTAGCGTGTACCATTGGTAGAGTTATAAATTGGTCCAGCTATTCTGGAAAGCAGTTTGGAACTATGCCCAGAAAGTTACTCAACTGCCCATGTGTTGGGCCTGGAGTCAGGAAGATCTGAGTTCAAATTTGGCCTCAGATACTAATTGTGTGATTCTGGAAAAGTCACTTATCTTCACCTCGGTTTCCTATCTGTAAAATGGTGGGTTTAAAGTAGTTAGCAAATTTAAATGCATTAGGATTTAGCACCTGGCACATTGAAGATGCTTAATAAATGCTTCTTCCTTCCTTTTCTCCCTCCCCCACTCCGTCCCCTTCCTTCTCCTTTCCTCTTTTTCTTTCCCTCATTCCTCCCCTCCTGCACTCCCAGGAATGGCTAAACACATTGTGTTGTGTGAATGGAACGGAATGTATTGTGCCATAAGAAATGATGAAACGGACAATTTTAGTGGAAACTGGGGAGACTTCTATGAACCAATGCAGATTAAAGCAAGCAAAGCTAGGAGAATAATCTATACATAATGTTGTATAAAAAAACAACTTTGAAAACCTTTAGAATTCTGATCCATACAATGATGTTCCAGATCCAAAAGAATGAGGATGAAACATGCCATTCACCTCCACATAGAGAGGTGGCAAACTTAAAATGTGGAAAGACATACATTTTTGGACATGATTAATGTGGAAATTTGTTTTGCCAGATGATAAAGCTGATATTGAAGGCTTTAATTCTGAGTTTGTGGGGGGGGTGGGTTTGTTTGTTTTTCTTTGCTCTTGGATTTTGAGGGAGGGACATATTAATCATAAAAATGCACTAAAAAAAATAGAACAAAATGAAATTTTTTTTGATAGGAGAAATGGAAGGTTCTGATAATTTCCTCTTGCCAGATAAATTAGAATGTTATTTTCAGAAATAGACTGATAGAAGCACTAACGTTAAATTTCTTTCTCTAGGATTTTCAAACTTACTGCCTTACATCTTTAGAGGAAGAAAACTCTGAGGTTGAAATAGGTAACTGGTTTAATTTTTTCCTTTATAATAAACTTTGATTATATATTTTATTACTTTTAAAGTTTCTATCAATATTTTTTATCTTATTCATTAAGATAATATACTATGAAATCTTGATTAAGTATGATTTGTCAGTATACTTTGTGGGCAGTGCTCTCAGATTGATAAAAATTAAATCTTTGCTGAAGAAAAGAGACTGTCCATAGCTCTCCCAACAGAATTTGCCAGAATCTTATTTTCACAGAATTTGAGAGCTGGAAGGGTCTTGAGCAGCCATCTAGTCCAGCCTATATAGAAAAGGGGTCCTCACTATAATATATCTGACAAGTGGTCATCCACCTTTGCTTGAAGATCTCCAAGGAGAGAAAGATAGCCTATTCCATCTTGGGACAGCTCAAATTGTGAGGAAGTTTTTCCTGACATTAAGCCTAAATTGGCTTCTTTGTAACTTTTACCTACTGTTCCTTGTTCTGCCCTCTGTGGCCAAAGAGAACAAATCTAATCTTTCCTGCACATGGTAGCCCTTTCAATACTTAAAGACACATATCAAGTTTCCTCCAAGTCTTCTCTTCTCCATTCAAAATATGCCAACTTCCTTCAACTTATTTTTATATGGCATGAACTCAAAGTCCTTCATTTTCCTGGTTGCCTTCCACTATACATTCTCTACCTCATCAGTATCTTAAACACGGTTTCCACAACTGAACATAGTCTTCCACATAAGGTCTAACAAGGACAGTGTACAGTGGGACCAATACTGCCCTATTCCTAGAAGCTTTTGTGCCTCTCTTAATATGGCCAAATATCATAATAACTTTTTTTGGTTGCCACATCAGTCAAGCAGTATTTATTTAACATCTACTATGTGCTAGGCAGTGTGCTAAGTACTGAGGATACAAATAAAGGCAAAAAAAAAAAGAAAAGAAAAAACCAAAAACCAGTCTTTGCTCTCCAAGGAACTCACAGTTTACATATTACTCAGTCATATTAAGTCCAATAAGTCCCTCAGATCTTTTTCAGAAGAACTGCTATCTGCCCATATCTCCTCTATCTTGTGAGGTTAATTTTTATTCTTGTCTAATCCATCTTCTCCACAAGAATAGCATGGGATTACATATGCTTCCCTAAAGCCTAGGTAAATTAGATCTATAACATTCTCTTCATTAACTAGTTTCCTAAAAGGAAATGAGGTATATTTTGTATAATCTGTTCTTGATGAAGCTGTACTGGTTCTTTATAATCATTGTTTTCCTTTCTAGATACCAAACAACCATCTTTTTTAATGAATCATCAAGCTCACTGGCCTATAGTTTACGGATTCTGTTATCTTCTCTTTTTGAAAATTGGAACTTCATTTAACTTTCTCCAATCTTGTGGTATCTCTCTTATTTTCCATGATTGTCCAAGTGTCACTGACTGATTCAGTTGTCACATCAGCCATTTCTTTTAGTACTGCTTTAAGTTAGTTCTGCTATAAGGTGATAGATGTCTTTCTAAAAATCACCTTACTATTCAGATCTTGAAATAAAAACCATAGGGTTTCTTTGATAAATGGGGTTAGAGTTACAGCATTTAAAAACTTCATCAGTGACATATTAAAAAAATAAGAACCTAATAAAATTTTTTTATACATGTTAAATGGCTAAGAAATACATAAATACTATAATTAAATAATGGCAATATCTGTAGCCCTGGTTCTTACTAAACCTGGGTTGCAAAGCTAACTCTGGTTACTGGTGCAGATAGGGTGGGGGTGGAATGCAGAACATCCCTCCCCACCCTTAGTTCCTACTGTGCTAGAAGATGTACAATAAATGGGACTTTACCTTGAAAAAGATCTGAAGTTTGCTTGTGAAAGTGGGTATGGGAAAGGCTGTAACAACTCATGAGTTACTGTAAGTTACTGAGTTACTCGAGTTACTCTGAATTACTATTATAGCAGAATTGACTATAGTTAACTGGGCCAGGTGATTTGAATTTGTTGTTGTTTTTAAGTCATGTCCAACTTTTCTTGACCCCATTTAGGGTTTTCTTGGCAAAGGTACTGGTTTTGCCATTTCGTTCTCCAGCTCATTTTACAGATGAGGAAACTGAGGCAAACAGATGAGTTTTCCTGACTCCAGGCCCAGTACTCTATCCACTGTGCCACCTAGCTGGTCCAGGATGATTTGAATTAATCTGGTGCAACTAAGTACTCTCTTCTTTTTGCCTTATCTTAAGTATTTCCTCCTGATAGTCACTTCGGTTTTGTCTTTTCAGTATAAGAGCCATTCTCCATGGCTGAGAAAACACAGACAGAATAAGAACTGAGCCTCTCTTTCCTCTCTTTTTTGTCAGTTAGCATTATCCTGTCCTCTGTAAGCAAGGGTCCTGTCCTTTCTCTGAACCTCTTTTTTCTCTCAATACAGCTAAAACAAAAATAAACTAAAAACTATGTTTGTGGTCTCCTTAGCTTCCCTTGCAAGTTTCAGCTTATTCTAAGTGTTAGCATTCCATATGCTGTTTTTTATTGGACTGTGCCACGCTCTAATATTCATCCTCTGTTCTCTTCCTTTGTTCTGATCTTTTGTACATTTCTTTTAAAAATCTGAGTTGGTTGGTGCATCCACGCTAGTGTCTTGAGACAAGTTTTGCTTTACCTCATCACTGGAATTATTTCTCTTCTATCTTCAGGATTTCATTCTTGAAAATCTCCCATTCCTCCTGGACTTACTTCCCCTCTTATACTTTAGTCCATGGGATCTAACCTATTGTTGAAAAAAAAAATGAATACTATGCTATGCATTTTAGACAACTCTTCCAGAAACAATTTTTAATATTTTAACATTAATCTAAAATCAAGCACTTCTACTTTACAGAATGTCCAAATTGACAGTTCCATCCCCCTCAATGCTCTCAGATATTTCTCTGTTGTTGTTTTTTCAGTTGTGTCCAATTCTTCATGACCCCATTTGGGGTTTTCTTGGCAAAGATACTGGAGAGGCTTGCCATTTCCTTTTCCAGCCTATTTTACAGATGAGGCAAACAGTTAAATGACTTGACCAAGGTCACACAGCTAGTAAGTGTCTGAGGCCAGATTTGAGCTCACAAAGATAAGTCTTTCTGACTCCAGGCTGGGCACTCTATTCACTGCACCACCTAGAAATTTGAGGCAATTCAAGATTCAATGAAAAGGTCACAATACGTTAAAGTATAATTGAGGGTTAACCAAAGTAAAGTAAAATCTTCATCTAAAAAATAGTAGTCACTTAATATACTAAAACTTCCTTGACTGGAAGGAGTGAAATTGATGAACAATTTAATCCCTTATAAATGGAAAGGGATTCCAAGGGCACAAGTGGTGTCTGCATGGAAAAGAGGGCACTGCTCATGGATGGGTCATAGTGCCACCCATGGGTAAGGAAGGCAGGGATCTTGACATACTTTTTTTTTTCCTCCTAAATTTAGTTACCAGGCTTAATCCATTTTCTTAGACCTGAGCTTTTTTTCTTAACCTTTTGATATACTTTATATGCTTATATACTTTCTTAATGTTAGGAAAGTATTTTAGGCTGGAGAAATATTTCTTACTGTTTTCAGCTGAACTAAAAGGAGGTTTTTGAAAAATATATGTTTCCATGTCATATTACCTCTAGAAACTAAAATCTCAACTAAAATGTAGGGTTTGTGTTAGACTGTGTCCAGATTTTTTCTCCTTCTCTTTCATAAATTCTTGGAGGAAGTGGTCACTTTCCCCCCAAGATGCCCATCTTTTCTGCCCCAACCACCAGTTCCTCCCTATTAGTGAGAATCCAGTCAGATTAAAATTTCCCTTTGTTGGTTCTTCTATCTTTGAAGGATGAAATAATCACTAAGGTAATTCAAGAAGTTATTGATTTCTTTGTTTTTGTCAGTGTGCTCCAGCAGATGTCTTAATAGAGCTGGAGAAGGAAATTGCAAACCACTCCAGTATCTTTGCCAAGAGAACCCCAAATGGGGTTGTGAAGAGTCAGACACAATTGAAACAACTGAACAACTACAACAAAAAGCTAACATTTATATATTGCTTTAAGTTTTACAAAGCATTTTACAAATATCGTCTTATTTTATCATCCCAACAACCCTGAGAGGTAGGTGCCATTATTATCCCTATTTTACAGTTGAGAAAACTGAGGCAGGTAGCAGTTAAATGCCTACAGTCACAAAGCTAGTAAGTGTCTGAGGCTTGAACTCAGGTCTTCTTGACTTCCTCCTTCTGCTTTATCATTCTTTGGAAGAAAGCACCTTCCTCCTTAGAGCATCCAGCTCCCTCCTCTTTAGGAAAAGCCTCAAATATTTTTTAAAGCTTTAACCAAATACTGCTTTATTCCTCTCTGTGACCCATTTCCACCTTCCACTATCCTGTCAAGCTTTGTCTTCCCTCCTCCCACCTGACATTCTTTTTTTCCCCCTCGTTAAAACCTCTCCTGTTTCTTCTTGAATACTTTATTCTTCCTAACAAGTTGGGTTTGTGAGAAGTGTTCTTTGAGCCCCTTTTTTTTTGAGAGAGAAATAAGGCTGTACTTGGACCATATAACAGTCATTTGGCAGTTATGATTCCAGCTATTAAAAAAAATTTATTTGTAGGTATTTACACCTCAACCCTATATCTGGTTAAAACCCTTACAGTCAATTATGACCTCTTAACAATTTGATGATCTCACTCACTTTTCTTTAGCCTCAACAGTTTCCCTGCTTTGCCCACCTCTTCTTTTGGCTTGAACTAATCATTCTCCTGCCTGTTTCATCAATTTGCCCCACTCACTAATCCCTCCTATTCATTGGCTTACCTCTCTTCCATTTACCTTTTATTTACTTTGCATTTTCTTGGCAACTATCTTCAATTTATCTTTGAGTTTACCTTTTCAGTCTATTCTCCTGTTCCTTCCTAATCCTTCTGAATTTATTGTCCTTGATTTTGCTTCTTTCACAACCTGGAAATAGAATATGGACGCATGTCTGGGTCTAGAGATAGTTTTTCA